GCGTGCGCACCACGACAACGCTTTGCGCTCCCTGTAGCTGCACTGCTGCAGAGGCCCGCATGCAGTCTGGTGCGGTGCAGTGCCCTGTGCTCGATGTGGTTGGGGCCTTATTCCTGCTGCTAGCGCTGTGCGTCTCCGGCAGCAGCACAGGTGAGGGTCGAGGGTCGGGGTGGTACCAACATCCAAGTCCAATCGAGGCGGTACAGCGAGGTTGGTAGCCGCCGCCGCAGCAACCAGCTGACTCTCAAGCGTTCAATGTCGTGGTCAGAAGGGGGATCCAGCAGCTCCAAAGTGGCGAAAACAGCCACCCGCAACAGAAGCAGGGCATGGCCGCAGGAGAGTAAAAGAGGAGAAATGGATAAGGCAGACGAGTATGAATGGAAGAAAGGGGAATGGAGGGAGAGGGGAGAGGGGGGAAAGAAAGGGCTGCTTCTCATCGCCAATTCGATGCATTCGCGAGCACGCATGTGGCAGTACTACTACTAACTTGCTGCATATAGTACAGTAGTCCATATAGTCCGTTGCGGTGATTGGCGCCATCTCGAAGCTCGTCAATCGCCCCGGAGGGACGGGACTGGACAAGTCTAGAGCCACCACAACACCAAAACGGGCTTGGAGCTACCGGAGTGCTTATTGAAAGTCTACTCGTACTTAAGTATGTGGTAGATATTAATAGTTCCAACTCGTGGCTAGCCGTATTCCGTACAGTTTGGAATCCCAAAGCTGCCAGTCATCAATCAATCAAAATTCAGTCCACGGCTTTAAACAAACGACTCGCCGTCCTACCTTGCCTATGTAGGCTCTCGTCAGATCTCAGCATCAGCAACGCGTCCGTCTATCAAGCTGCCACATAAGACACACACACACAACTCACCACTTACTTCTTGTACATACTTACATACATGCATACATACCTACCTATATGCACACTATCACCACATCTAAACAGGGCGGAGGCGTGTGACGGGTGACGATGACGGCGACGGGTGACGGGTGATGGGGGGGCAATGGCGGGAGCTCTGCTTCACGAATTGATTCAAGTTGATTAAATCGACGAGTCTGGCCCCCGTCGATCCGGGACCCTATCCTGCTTCTCTGCTAGCCTTGCTTGCCTTGATCGAATCATCCATCGACAAGCAAACAACATAGACTGCCCGAGGCAGCCCTGCCCGACCATCCCCATTCCTATCTTCCCCCATCCCCCATCCCCAATCCCAACCGTGTCCCGCCTGCAGAGCTGCCATGGCCCGCCAACCCGCCTCGCCTGCCGTGTCCTGCTGGTTCGCTCGCCCGCCTCAAGTTCCCAAAGAGTCGGAGCCGGGGATTTCGCCTCTGCTGCTTGCTTCGGTGGCGTGAGGAGAGAGGGGTTGAGGGGGGCGGACTGCTCTCGACTTGGAGCTGGGAGAGGGGAAGCTCGGAGCTGCGCCTGGAGCTCGCTGCCTTGCCTTAAAAGCTCAACTCGTTCCAGCTGCTAACCATCTATCTCCTGCCTTGGAGGGTGCATCTTGATGGATGTCCTCATCGCCAGAGTGTTGATGCGTGCGTATGCCAAACATCCAGCTTCGCTGCCCATCTGCTGCTCACTGTTCGCTTATCGCTGGCGAACTGTATGACATACATGTACCGCATCTCCGGCCTACTCGTACACGCACCGGGTGATGCCCTGGTGCAGTATCAGGTTTTCCAAGGCCAACAAGGTGGTCTGTCCGTCATCAGGCCTCCTCTCCATCTCCCCTCCAGCTCATTCACCGTCTCCGCCAGCAGAGACCACAAATTCGAAATGGCACATTGCAGCCCGCTTGCCGTCAGTCAATGGGATGGCCTCGGGAAAAGGCCTTGCCAGCGCAAAGTTGCAGCAATTGCTGTCCCATGTAGTGTTACCCTCAGCTCTTGCTTCGTCCACGCAAGTACATGTAGCAAGACTGCTCCCGGGAGGCCCATCAGCAATGTCCGCGGTTGACGTTGGGCAACATTCAGGTTTCTAAGCGGTGACAAGGAGCTTTGGGGGGCGAGTGTGAGAGTCAGGGAAGAAGAAAATCTCCGTGCGGCCACTTTGTCCGTCTGCTGCTACTTCGTACATGATGCCTGTACTCGTAGCAGTGTATGAGCTTCTGCCGCCAGCCGAGCCGGTTTGATTGCTCATTCTTGCCGCCGCGTTGCAGCGAATAAAGTCACTGCCGCAAAGCGACCATGCCCTTGCTGAAGCATATCATACCAATTAGGTATGTATCCTCGACACCCACATCTAGCCGACAAGCGACTCCGTCATCAGATCAGGCGGAGGGACGACGTGACATGGTACCCATCTACGTCCTCCAATGCATGTCTTGCCAACACCTTGAACCAGACGAGAGCTGGGGAAATCGGTAATAGTACCTAGAAGCCGGTAACACTGCATCCAACGGCCATACCTATGCACGCATTCGTGGCATCGGCATCGTTCCTCCTGCTCTCCGGCCAACCGCACTAATGCTATGTACCACTTACTATATTCGTGCTGTAGCCTCATCGTACAAGTCGCGGTTAGGCAACGCCTCGATGGGCCGTGTTTTCTAAGGCGATGCAGCACGCCCCCAGCGCTTTGAATCGGGATCTAGTAATCGGGACAAGCCCCGCGATCCGCATGCTTATCATGCGAGCCGCAGCAAGGGAGCGTGGAAACGCCGCGGCCGCCGCGGCTGGCAACGGATCACAGGTTCCTGTTCGTGCTCGTACTCATGTTTGTGCCTGTGCTTGTGCTTGTGCTTGTGCTTGTGCTCAAGGGATGGTGGTGCCGCTCGCTGCGCCCAGGTGCTCCTCGTGTTGCGCAGGTATGCGTGCATCTTCCTTGTAACAAGGCTCCGGAGTCACTCCAAGCAGCATCCGAGATGCTGTATGCGAGTAATTGTACCCAGCTGGATGACAAGCCGTGGTCTGGACATGGCCATGGATGGATGGATCATGAATGGTGGTGGTTGGCAGCCAATTGCTCCGTATGGACGCCTCGGACTGCGCGCGCGTGTGTGTGGCACCCGATTCCCAGCTTTTACGAGGCCCCAGCAACGAGCTGCCTCCCAGCCCGCTAATCAGAGCGCAGAGCTGCTGGTGCCTCGTCAGTCGATTTGTCCGTCAATGTGAGCAGTAAGATATTACTTTTTGGCCTTCGATTGCCCACATCAGTACCTGCTTAGTTAGGTACATGTATGTATAAGTGTAAGGTAAGGTAATAAGATAAATACTAGTAAGGTAGTACTGTATGTACCTTTGATGAGGAGGCCTGCGGCTAATGGCAGAAGACAGATGTTGTCCTCTGTACGTACGTGTCTTCCTGCGGCCGCTGCATACCCAAGGCAGGTAGATATCTCCCTCGCGCGTATGTACCTGGGCGCCTCATATCGCGGGACGTATTGCATGCCGTACCTAAGGTAAGTAAGGTAAGGTAGGTTACCAATGCAGCACACACGTACATGGGCTCACATGCAAATGGCGCCGCCCAGCATGCGCGGCACATGCTACTAGCTGCTGCTTGCCGATAGTATGTGCAGATGCATGGAGTTGTCGAGACTCGAGATCGTTCATGTACCGCTGCAAAATCCATGCCATTGAATGCGAGTGTGCGCCTGCACTTGCGCCTTGTGCGCCTCGCTGCCTTAACGGGCCCCGTATTGCCCATTCTTCCCGTCCAAAAAGCCCCGAGCCCAACACCGCCAGGAAGTTGAGCGGAAGGAAGGGACGGTCTTCCTCTTTGCTTGGAATGACTTTTTGAAAAGGCGAGGCGGGCTTTTGAGACCCAGCCGATTGGACAGACCCTGTCTTCGAGGCCTGGCCGCTGTCGATGCAGCACCCCTGACTGGCGAGAGCCCGGCATTGACGTACAAGGACGGGACCCATGCTCGTACGAATGGGCATCTAGCTGTTGGCTCGGCGGTACTTGGCATACTTGTACAGGGGAAATACCTGTCAGTACATGTCAATATCAAGCAAAAGGCTCTGGGTCTCATCACCTACAGTAAGGGGACGGAGAAGAGCGATCCCCGCCTCTCCTGGCTTGCAGCCGTGCCGTCACTTGTACATACTTGTACGAAGCAGTCGTAGTGGTAATTGTACTCGTAATACTACCTAGGGAGGTAGTCAAGTCTCAGAAGATGAACGCCCAAGAGTCTGCATCTGCACGCGCGTGTGGGGGACTCCAACAAGGGCGGCAAGGATGCAGGCGACACTCTGCGGCCTGGCAATCAAGATCCAGTAGCACCACTCGTCAATGTACGCGTTACCACCCAGACGGATGTGTGCGCTGGGATGTGCCACTTTTGCTCGCCCGCCAACCGGAGGCCATCGATGGCAGACGCCGCGATACGCGGTGTGTATGAGCAATCGAAGTAGTAGTAATGCGAGCATCTACAGTGGCAGGACAGCCACTGCTACTCCATACGGGTGTCCGTCCGTCGGCCGCCGTCCGTTCTCGAATGTGAGCGGTCCGCGTACGAGATCAAACCGGTTCCGGCCCTTGAGCCGGGCCTCAAGTGCTATCTTCGGCCCTACAGTAGTCGGCTCCTCCTACTGCAGGTCCCAAGGCATCCGGGTCGTAGCCATTGAGAAAAGAGAAAACAGGCTAATGGTCTCGTCGCGGCTAGCCCAAAGGAGACATGATCATGATGCCTGTTGGTGCTGTCAAAGCCGATCGAGCATGCCTGCACGCTGGCCGCTTTTGCTTTCCAACCACTTGCCGGAGATGCTGCACCAGGAGTGGGCGTCACCTAAAGCACGATACGAAGTGCAGTGGTAGGGCTGGCCGTGGAGCTTTGGCCATGCTCGGCCCTCTGCTTCTCCTTTGTCTCTCCGCGCATACTATCTGCCTGGAGGGCCAGAAGAAGTGAGCTGTCGCTTTGATGACCAACGACGCACGCTAGCAAACCATGTTAGTGCTGCAGCCTGCCACTCGGTGAAGGCATCGTGCAGCCATTGAATTCCTCTCGGGGCGGGGGCTGCATCTGTTGGCCAAGGATGAGCTGGCTCCAGCTCGAGCATCTAGAAGCATTCGTGACGAGTGCAAGACGTCAGTTTGCAACTGGCGCGCGCTCCAGACTGCGCTCAGAATGTAGCAGCTTATTCACCGCCTGCCAGCGATACACGACGGCTGCATTGAAGCCATTGCATGGAGCTGTGGTGGTGCCCCGTAATGCATACCAATGCGAGGCCAGTATGCATCTGGCAGCCATTCGCGGTGTAGCAGCCCAAAGCGAGGGTAGCAGCCTCCGTCTCATTGCTCCATAGCAACAAATGCCAGAGTCTGTGTGGACGGGGGACTCCGGACTCCAGCTTGCTGCTTCCAGCGTGTCTCGTGAAACCCCAGTATTACGCAGCTGTCAAGCAAATAGCTCACGGGGGAGAGGCCCAGGCCTGCAAGAACCAGTGACTGGCCCAAGCTGCGCTGTGATGGCAAGTTGAGGAGGCCAGCGATTCGAGCAGGGGAGAGCCACGATGCACGCACGAGAAGCTTGATGTTGACGTTGACAGACACCAAGCGTCACATTGACTGTAGTAGGCAAGGCACGTGTAGTACTGCTGACCTACACCACCGTCTGACATTACCTAGTCTTGCCAGTGCTGCAAACTGCACTCGATGCTTCTAGTTCTTCCTCAATTGCCCAATCGATCACATGCAGGCGCAATGTTCCAATGCATACCTAGATACGTAGAAAGGCCAATCAAATGGAAGTGGTTTCGCTGGACGCTGAACGGAGCATCGACGAGTGCCCTCGGCGATAAGAAATGAAGTCCAAATAGCTTCCATTTCAAGGAGCTTCTTCAGCTAGCTTCAACAAGTTTCATGTCCCAGTAGCTCTGATCGACATCGATGAGGATCGCCATTGCTCTGCGATAACATCTCGCCGTTACGATCAGTAGGATAATGCCTCGTACTTCGGACTCATGGGCAGCAGTTCCATCATTCGCCAAAGGGGGGAGGACAAGGTGCTCGGCAACTGGCACACAATTAGCCAAAAAGGAGGGTCAACAGTTAAAAAGGTAACCATTACAAAATCAGATCAGAAATACCTGCAAGTAAAAGGATTTATTTGGCTGCAAAAGCGGTCGGCAAAGCTGCAACGGGTCTCGGAGGCCCTGGCAACTCATACGAGTAATAGCTTGCTATGCACTCCGGTGGTGTTTCGACATGGCCGTTCGGCAGTTCCGGTTCCTCCCAAGCAAAAGCCCACATGGGTCAAGGACTCCATGCTTCCATGCTTCCATGTGTCCAGAGTTCCATGAGTCCCCCGATCCAGCTGCTCAAGAGCCGTTGTAGGCGATGCCGAAAGCGGTCCACAGGCTGGAATTGTGTAACGCGAGCGACGCCTTCTGACACAGGTCATTCGCAGTTGTGATCTGTACTAGTGAGAAAAGCTCTTGGGTGTGTGCATTTCGTGCGTGTAATAGGAAAAACAGAACCAGACATCGATAAATCCTGGCCATATGCATGGTCATGGTCATGGTCCTGGTCCTGGTCCAGGTCTAGGGGTAGAATTTTTCGCTCCCAGCACACGAGGTGCGTCAAGGCGCTTTAAAGGGACCGAGTACCTTGGAGCTGTCCGTCCGTCCATGCCCGAGAAGTGTTGGGAAACTCTCACGGCCCTCCAGGTTTCTTCGGCTTGCCGTCGGCCTCTAGGGATAGTACGCAAATGGCATTGGATTGAAGTCTGACACTCGCTCGTATGTGCTCTGGCTCGCCTCCCGGCTTGGCCATAGACTCGACTGCTGGTGAATGCCCAGTGTGTCGCCTGTCTTTAGCAATTGAAGGAGGATCTAAGTGAGCAAGATGCCCACAACCCGTGCCTTGAAGCCTCATATTCATTCACTCGCCCAGTCCCTCTGGGCATACTTCAGGTATCAAGTGTCGACAACGTCAGCAGCGTGAAGGTAGGAAGGCGCCCAAGTACGAGTACGAAGGTAGGACGTGTCATCTTCAAGTCTGTCGTCGACGTCAAGGCTACACCTGGATGAGCATGAATTACGCCGAAGCCAGCGCTGCGCACCGAGTACCTGTCACGTACTGCATACCACCCCGTACCGATCTCCTCTTACCACCGGGCAGGTACAGGCGGTGTTAGCGACGGAACGGAGCAGTGGAGGCAGGTGCGTCTATGGGGAAAGGGAAGGGGGAAGGGAAAGTGTGCATGCATCTTGCCCGAATTAGCGCGCCGACAAGAGCAGCTACGGGTAACTCTTCCCCAAGGGAGCAACTTCCTCCCCAGCAACAGAACCGGGCAAGGCAGGAAGCGACGTGAGGGTATCCGCAACCACGAGGGCTTCCTGCCGCTCTCGCCAAGGTACAGATGCTCCGGGTTCAAGATTCTACCAGGCTCCAATATTCTGTGAACCCACCAACAGATCCGTTCATATGAGCTCAATTGCAGTATTACAAGGAGGCAGCCTCGAGGTTCAACCTCATTGTCGAGACTCAGTCGCCGCTCCTTTCGGTTCGCAGTGAATCGGAAGCTTTTCCACGGGTTCCGGTCCGTCTGTACTGGGAATCCTGGCGAACCGTAATCCTTTCCTCTGCCGTCCGGTCCTGGTTTGATTCATATTACTAACAGCCAGGACTTAGACCACAACGTCGATGGAGGCTCCCGAGCCCATACGAGTCCCGAGACTGCATACAGACACGGCCCTTCTCTCGCCAATTCCTCTTCCGGGAAACCTCGGCCGTCGCATCGAAGAGAGTGGAGAAGCCGTTCGGGATACTAGTACTATTATCCTTAGACAGCTTGACAGCTTCTCAAGGCCGATTGCCCGACGAGCCTCCAGCCCCTCAACTTCGTTGTTCTGTCTCACCTGTCGATTCCCATTTCCATTCCATTGACCGGGTTGCGACATGTTTCACTGGCGGTCCCAGCTGCATGAAGAAGCATCCAATTCCGTCCCCTGCAAACAACCCCGGTCAACCGGTCAACTAACCTTGCAGGAGCCAGGGCCTACTCTCCCCTCCCTACCTCAACACCCCGGGCATCGAGTGCCAGCCGTTGTCGTCACCGCTGTTCAAAGGGAAAAAGCCTTTTGGAATCGTCCAGCTCACTAGGCACAAGCACATAGCATGGGCTGGACTGCATATTGTCCCTTGGCCCGGCGTCATCATATCGAATTCAGCTCCCGCTCCGGAGCAGTGGGGTCAATAACTGACAGCACCTGGTCTGATGACAGTATCGGCATCATGCTAGGCAAGCCTCTGCAAAGGAGTGCCTGGATTTGTGCCTGATAGAGCAACGTGTCGTTGAACTTTGATAGTGACGGTCACGCCATGGTTTGAGCAAAATGGCCAGCGACTCGAAGAATCCAGGCTTGTAAGATGGCTAGCACCCTACTTTGACATGCGTCGGGCATTGCTGCAGCCGGTCAGCCCGGTTTTTCTCAAAACGTCGCCCTTTGCTAACCATCTCACGTACAAGACAGCTCAGCGAGCGACCATCTCTCCCCCGGCAATCTTGGAGAACTTGTGCACGCGAAGTACAGCTGGCTTCTATGGATGATTCTGCTCGACAGATTCGCATCTTACGTCCATCTTATCCGCTTCTTCGGTCCATCATCGGCCATGACGAAATTCAGACGGCTAGCCCATGTCAAACCGTCTATCATGGGCGCCTTCTCTTTCTCTCAAAGCACTTGTCATTAACAGCCGTTCTCTTCCGTTTGAACTACGAGTTCGACCATGACAAGCCCGCTAGTTTGTACAACAAATCCGCTACTCAGTAGCTGCCTGTTCATGCCGCATACTGTGGGTCAATAGGCTTGACCTTACTCCATACCAGCGTTCGAGCCTTGGAACCCGATCATTGTCGCGAGCTCTGATGAAAGTGTGTCCCAACCTCAGTTTCTTTTTTTATCATCATGCACAAGCCACAGAGACTGGGGTTTTCTCTCTTCTGTCGCCCTGTAACTCGGGTGAAATGAGATTAGACTACAGGTGATAGTTCACAAATCCGGCCCAGTTCGCAAGCCACATTGTCTCTCAACGAGTGAGAGTCAGCGGGATGAATGGTTGAAGCTGGAGCACGTCATACACACCATGACTGGGACCTACACCGAGTCTCCCACGACTTTCTTCCCATGTCCATCCACAGAGTAGAGTAGGTTACCTGCCTTGGCGGTCCTCCTCCGGCAGCTTGGTGTATGCAACAAAGTCGTACCAGGTCCTCGGATCGTCGCCCGCGTGGTTCTCTGATGCTGTCAAGACTCGTCGTGCCCAGTGGCTCGCTTAGCCAAACTCACTCCGCCTAAGACGATTTCACGCCCGTGTCTGTCACGGCCGATGGCTCACTGGCTTCATTGGGGTCGGGCAACGCCAGACTTCACTCAACACCTCCATCCTGCAAGACTCGGACATTGTTTCCAGTTTCAAACGACACCTCTACCCCAACACGTTGAGGTGGTGTGGAAAAGGCATCTTTCACCCACACACGACATATTGCCAATATCAAACCAAGCCACGCGTATCTTCTCCGGCAGCCTTGAGCGTACAGGTACGCTCTGGTTCGCCCATTGCAACATCCATGTGAGTGGATGGCCCTGGGGGCCATCTCCTCCATTGTACTTTGAATGATGGAAGAGAGGGCTCTGCTCCTGCTCGACTAGATAGAGGTTTGGTCATCACGGCCTCGATGCTCCGAAGCCAGTCTAGTCATGCAAAGAGCAGCCATCTTCCAGCAGCCAGACTTGCCGGTGCAAACGGCCCTCTGCGAAGGGCGGGCTGGTATGGTTCTCGTCCCGGCAAGTAGCTATACAAGCCTGTCTCACTTTGTCTCCGGACTGGCGGCCCGGATGCAAGGGGAGGGACGTTGATTAACTTGACGTAACATGATTCTTCGCCCTTTGGACTGTAGTGGTTGGTACAACAAGTCTGTACTGGATGGGAAACTCGCGTTGACAAGGAAAACGCATCTCTCACTCATACGGACCTCAAGTCCCGGCCAATGGTGAGTTGGTACAACACTTGCAGCTTGCATGGCATCGGCTTTGCTGCCTTGGTCAGGCGCACTTGAAAGCAACCAACCCCAACCCAGACTCTTACCGCCTTACGACAGCTCCAAATTCGCTGTCAGTTCTGCTCCTACTCGTGAGGCATTGGCTCCTTGTCAACGATAAGGAACCGCACACGCCACCTCAATGCCAACGCCTCAATTGACAGCCACAGCTTAAGATGCCACAAGAAATGGTCCATACACTGTAGCCTCAGTGCCTTATTTGTATCGAGAGTAAGTCTCGCCTGTGCCCCTTGGTAGTTTCTCAATATACATTCCGGATCGCTTTTGGTCAGCGACAAGTCTTTCGTTATAGACCGCTCTTTTCTGAGCTAGAGGCGTTCAAACTGTGAGCCACAGGAGCATCGTAGTCAAGCTTGCCGGTCGGTCGATCTTGGTCTAGTATTGAGAGCATTGGTTTTGATGGTATGTGTGGCCCTTTGCAAGAGGCCATGCATCTCTGAACAGCTTTGGTTGGGTTAGCCAGTTGTGGTTCAATTTGGTTTCCGTGGAGAGAAACAACCCCGGCTGTGCTTTAAAGAGTGGCTATACGGCAGCTTGATGCCATTACAACTGCTTCTTAACGATATATGTGAAGTCGGCCATTACTCGATAAGCGATGTCACATGCAGATATGCTTGATACGCGGAGTTAACATTGATTCGAAAGTCTAAAACCTTATATGCATCCTGGATATACAAGAGAGCACAGGTATGCTACGGTTGAGACTTTGGTGGCTCTTTGAACAGATGGAAAGAATTATCGACGCCTGCAGAGTGACTGAGCATGCCAACATGAATCTACACTGGACTGGACTTTTTGTCTCCCAAGTGATAGATGTCACGAGGAGTGTCTCTCTTTCTCATTTCATGAGCTGATGCGGCTTGACTACCAAGGCATATTCGTTGCCTTGTTAGCACAGGCGACTCTCGAGGGTTGGAATATGAGCAGAAGCAGGGGCAACAAGTCGGATTACTGTGGCCTCGAAATGATTGGACTGGATCATTCAGCGTGTTATCATTGGCATCTGACCATGAAAGACTGTGTAAAATATAAGGAAAGAGTCCCTCTGATTAGGCGTGAGCTGCACATATCGCCGTTTGGCAGTCGACATTGCAATTTGACAAGTGCAGCAGTAGACCGCAGCTACAGTGAACCACCGCCCACTTGAATCAACAGCTCACTAGGCACCCAAGAGCATACCAGTCCAGCATCAAGATCCCTCGCTGTCGGGGATGTTGATTCTCATCGCAGACTCTCCCAGAGCGAGACGTGATGCTTCACATTGAACAGCTCGAGAAGCCCAACCCGCAAACGAAGTCCTCCGCACCTTAATCGAACCCCACTCCGTCTCCCCTCCCCCAACCAATCACCCCATGGTCCCACTTCAGCCTTGCGGCTTACATAACAACCGCCCCTAGTTCAGCAACGCCTATTAACGGAGCCACAGGAAGCCGAAACCTTCTTTTACTAATAGTACCGCTAACAGCCAAAGGCAATCAATCCAAGCTCTCTCTCGCCCTTTTGTCCGCACAGACACTCACACACGCATCGGCAGCCTCAGCCTTGTTTCCGATTATCCATCCGAGGCTGACATTGTCCTTCTCTTCCTTTCTCCCCCCTCTCCCCTTTCCCACACAAGCCAATCAATCCCCCCTCCATTTCTTCGCTCGGTCTAGACGATCGTATGTTTCTGTCTTCGCTGATCTGGCGCGCCGGAGTGGTGTCGGGACTGTGAGAGAGGAAAGCTGTTGCGTCTCTGGTTTCTCCTCCCCATCGCCGTTCGGCTTTGTGAACGAGGTGAGTTCACTGTGGCGCTGCTCTCAATTGATTATGTTCTAATTGCTGATTCTTCTCCTTCAACAGCTCGGCTAAGGGAACCAAGAGCATCGTCCATTCTTCTCCATCTGGTTCAACACCATCCACCAGCCCCCCCAGTCATCTCTCGATACTTGCCTCCATCCATTACTCTATACGATCCTCGTCACTAGGCTAGATTGCCGGCCCTGGGACCAGCATCGCCTTCCGATTGGAACATCCTCGTCGCCCTCTCGCCTTATACCACATCTTCTCCTACAGCCCTACCATCTCCCACCCGAATCGTCACTCAATCGCAGCCCATCATGTCGCAGCGACCATCCACACCAGTCAAGGTGCCGCCCTCGGCGGCAAACTACACCCCGGCAACGCTGGACCCAGACCTGCGATCACAGATCAACTCAATCCTGCTAAAAGACGGGCATGTCGCCAAGTCAGTGCACCACACCACCAACCACCCAATCAATCAATCAATCACCTTAGCAAAACCTCCGGCTAACAAATAATCATCTTCAACATCACAGAATCCAAGAAGCCCTCCTCCACGCCCTAAACTCCAACTCCTCCAACTGGCCCACCGCCGTGCAGAACCACGCCCTGAACCTCCTCCGCTCCGGCGAAGTCACCACCTTCCCCGCGCTCCTCCGCCGCGTGCTCGACGACGTCCGCGAGAGCCAGCCGTCCACATCATCCACGTCCAGCGCAAACGGCAAGTCGTCAACAGCGACAAACGGCGGCGGCAGCAGCAGCAGCAGCGCGGACAATACCAAGAAGACCAACGGCGCCGCCTCGGACAAACCGCCCCTCGCCATCCCCACCTCCGTGATCGAGGAGGCCCTCCGCATCACAAGGGAAAGCCTCGACGCCGTCTGCGAAATCGAGGAGAAGGGCAGCGGCTAGCAGTCTTCATCCTCTTCTTCTCCTCTTGCTGCTGCTGCCGATGCCACTTCTTCTTCTCTTCCCTCTTCTCCTCCCATCCGTACTCCTCCCAGTCTCCTCCTTCTACTCTAACGACTCCTCTCTCTCCTCCCCTCCCCAACAGGCAAGCGCAGAAGATGCCGATCCTGAATAAACCCAGCACGGGTGCATTCCAGACCAGACCTATATAACATAAAAGTCAAACGTGGCTTTCTTTCTCCATCTTTTTTTTTTCCATCCCCATCTTCTCCCTTTTTCGCATCTGCCAGTCTCTTTTTGTCTTGTCTTCTCCCTTGTCCTCTTTTTTTTATTTCTGGCTTCGATTATACTTGTGATATAGATATAAGGGTGGAGGGAACTGGAGAGCAAGGCACTTTAGGGGATGTAACTAGTTCAACTTTGTCAACCTCTGTTTTTTTCCCCTCTTTCCTCTTTCTTCCTAATGGTATATCGAGGGGGAACTGCATGGATTCGTTTGGGAGCATGGTGCGTCCTACGTGGAATGAAATAAAACAAGGCACGTAGGGGGAATTTACGATAATGGCCATGGAATCCTTACATTTACATAGGGCTTAGCCAGAGCCACGTTGGCTACGAAGATAAAGGAAAAATCATCTCCCTCGGTTCATAACACTCCGGGTGCTGCATGATCCCTGGGTCACTGGGTTGGGTCGTCGTAAAGGCGCGGATCAATACATTGGCACGACTGGCCAAGGGCTTATGGGTCAAACAAGCAACATGGAACCACGAAAAGAAAACACCTCAGTTCTTGGAAAGCAATGAATTTGTCTATCAAGCTGACGCAACCTAATCTTGTAGTCCCGGGTCCCGAAAGTAAACAATCCCTCCACTAAACTTCATGTTCCGGGCATGTGTTTGATGGCCAAGTCTGTAACGCCACACTCTTGGGTGGCCTCTCTCTCTCTGCTCTTCTACTACCCTCGTGGGTCGAAGTAATGTGCCACCCAATGCCGTCTCGATTAGAGTCCCGTATGACCAACTTTGCTGTTGATGGAGGCAGATGTAAGTAGGAGAAAATAATCCCCAGTCTTTCTGATTTTTTTTGGATTTTCATTCTCGAATACATGGGATCCAGAGGACTGTTTCTTTTTATCACCCAATTGCGCCGTACTTTAGTCGTAGAGATCGTCATCGTTGCCGGCGTCGCCAAAAGAGTTGCCAGCGTCACCAGTGGCTCCCTCAGCTCCATCGGGGAACTTGAAGTAGGCACCAGGCCCAGCATTCTTCATCTGCTGAGCAAAGGCCTCATATCGGCGAATCTCCACATCGCTGACGGACCGACGAGCCATCTGCATGGCCTCCTCGAAGTGGGCCTTGGTCAGCTCGGGAACGGGGTCCTCGACTTCTTCGTCAACATCCATGTTGTCGCCAGCAGCCTCGCGGGCCTTCTGGCGCTCAATGTCGGCAGTGATAGCCTCCTTGATGGCAATCTTGACGGCACGCTGGGTAATGAATCCCAAATCAGCACCAGAGAAGCCGTGGGTCTTGGCGGCGATGTAGCCAAGGTCGACGTCGGCAGCGACGGGAGTCTTGCGCAGCTGGGCCTTGAGGATGCTGAGACGGCCAGGCTCATCAGGAAGAGGAACGTAGATGAGCGAATCCAGACGGCCAGGACGGCAGAGAGCAGGGTCAAGCTGCTCGGGTCTGTTGGTGGCACCAATGACGAAGACGTTCTTCTTGGAGGTCATGCCGTCCATTTCTGGCAAGCGAGTTAGTAAGGTGATAAGATGATGTTGATGGGTCACGTATAGGGCGGTGACTTACCAGTCAGAAGTTGGTTGACAACTCGGTCAGAGGCACCGCCGGCATCACCCATGGAGCCACCACGGGCCTTGGCGATGGAGTCCAACTCGTCGAGGAAAACGACGCAAGGAGCAGCAGCTCGGGCCTTGTCGAAGATGTCTCGGATGTTGCTCTCGGATTCACCAAACCACATGCTGAGAAGCTCTGGTCCCTTGACGGAGATGAAGTTGGCAGCGCATTCGTTGGCGACAGCCTTGGCCAACATTGTCTTACCGGTACCGGGAGGACCGTAGAAGAGGACACCTCGGGACGGGGAGAGGCCGAACTTGAGGAACATCTCGGGGTGATCGACGGGGTATTGGACGCTCTCTCGGAGGTCTTGCTTGACACCCTCGAGGCCACCGATATCCTCCCAGCGGACGTTGGGAACTTCGACGACAGCGACCTCGCGGAGAGCAGAGGGGTTGGACACGCCCAGGGCGAATCGGAAGTTGTCCATGGTGACGCCAAGGGAGTCGAGGACTTCGGCATCGATGGTATCCTCATCCAGATCGATAAGGTCCATCTTCTCACGAATCTGCTGCATGGCAGCCTCGGAGCAGAGGGCAGCAACATCGGAACCGACGTAACCGTGGGTCTCGGCAGCGATCTGCTCCAGGTCGACATCGTCGGCCAGCTTCATGTTCTTGGTGTGGATCTGGAGAATCTCCAGACGGCCAGTCGGGTCGGGGATACCAATGTCCACCTCGCGGTCGAAACGACCGAATCGTCGCAGGGCCGGGTCGATGGAGTTGGGTCGGTTGGTAGCGGCCATGACGACGACGTTAGAGCGCGCCTTCATGCCGTCCATGAGGGTGAGCAGCTGAGACACTACACGGCGCTCAACTTCACCGTTGGTCTTGTCTCGCTTGGGGGCGATGGAGTCGATCTCGTCAATGAAGATGATGGCGGGCGAGTTCTTCTCAGCCTCCTCGAAGGCCTTTCGCAGATTCGACTCGGACTCTCCGGCCATCTTGGACATGATCTCGGGACCATTGATGAGGAAGAAGAAAGCGCCGGTTTCGTTGGCGACAGCACGAGCCATGAGAGTCTTACCGGTACCAGGAGGACCGTACAGCAAGACACCTCGAGGCGGCTTGATACCGATAGATTTGAACAGCTGGGGATGGCGGAGGGGAAGCTCGACCATCTCTCGGATCTGAGCCATCTGCTTGCGGCATCCACCAATGTCGTCATAGCCAACCTCGTTCAAGTTGTTCTCCTCCTCGTCGCGCTGGATAGGCTCGCCTTCGCAATGGATGACGGTGTCCTGAGCGACGATGCCGTATTCCGGAGGATCCACCTCGACGACCTTGAATTCCACTTGTCTCATACCACCACGGACAATGAACAAGTCTCCCTGCTTCACCGGTCGGTAGGCTTCGCGGAAGTATGGGGCGAGGAAGACGTCGAAGAGGGAGCCAGTGAGGCCCTCGACGGTGTCGGCAATGGGAAGTACAGCGATTCGCTTGGCCTATTTGAAGCGGTTAGATGCACTGTGGCCTCAGAGTGATGATGTCAGGCAAGAACTCACATATTTGATATCGGGGCAAGGAGAAATGGTAATCATGTCGCCGTGCTTCACTCGCAGGTTGTGACGGACAACACGGTTGATTCTGGCGCTACCCTCATCCAGCTCCTCGTCGGCGAGAACGATGAGCACAGTCTCCTTTCTCTTCTTGCCTCGTACGAGGACGGTGTCGCCACGGAAGAGCGACAGGGCGTCCATGGTGGCCTCAGACAGGGCAATGATGCTGTTGTCATCGTTGACGGCGTCGGTGACCCTGGTTGTAGTCAGTATATTTGATCTATGGCGACCATGGAGCAATGATACCTACATCAACTGGTTGGGCTTCTTCTTCTTCTTGAGAATGGCCGTGGCGGTGTCATCTTCCTGTCATCAAGTCAGTTTCCCCGCCCTGGGTATCTAAGCAAGGTGGGCTGAACGAACGTGCTTGACCTCCGCGCCGGAGGGGTCGCTGTGAGGTGGTTAGCTGGCTCTGGTCTTTCTGATGGCGATGGAAGATGTCTCCGGAGGCTGGACGTACGTCAAGTTGACCTTCTTCTTGTGGTCTTCAGGCTGAGAAGCCATGATGTCGACTGGGGAGCTGTGTTCAACGATGGGAAGTGGGGTGAGGGCAAGACCGAGGCCGGAGTCGATGGGAATGTGAAAGAAAAGAGATACGCGGATGATTCCTCCTCAACACGATTCTGTAGAGGACGGAGAGAGAACGTTGGTTCTTGAAGGTGTATTTCGCGGGAAGGGAAGTGGTGATATGGAGGAGAGAAGGTTGAAAGCGGCGAAAGCTCGAGGTGTCCAGAGAGTTCAGTTCCCTTAGCGATCTGGCACGCAAGGCCTAACGGATAGGCAGGTACGTACCTTGGCCACGGGCACCCACACGCCCCAGTGCCCCCCGGCGCAGAGGGGCAGCGGCCAATCACAGCACGCGCTGCCCTGAGCGGAGCGGAACATCGATGATGCAGGGGGCTCCGAGCTGCGCTCTCGGCCTGCTGTAATCTGGCGAGGCTGCGCTGTGGCCGCTGGAACAGTGGAATCTTCTGCCGTCTTCCACTGAGAGAGCGCCAGGCAACTGGGGACGCGCAACAAGCTGCAAGTCACGGTACCCGGCAGTCGCGGAGCAGTGCGCCCGCAGACCAGGTACCGGCTACAGCGCCGACCCCCGCGGCAGAGCGTACGATGACGAGCTGCAGCCTGGAGAAGTTGATATGGCATTTTGTAAGCAGATGCATTTGTTGCCACAGGACTGGAGGCTTCTATCACGAAGTGTTTGCCTCTGTTTGCCTCCTGATTTCGCGATGGTTATATTGCTTCAATTAGTAGTGGATTTATGGTGACTTATCTCGCCTCTATATCGAGTCAGGGATTGCTCATTGACGGAAGCATACGGAGCTGTACCTGACATTGACCTCCGTCGGGTCAATACCCGCTGAATCTCAATGAAGTCATACTTGTACCCGCAGTGACTGAACTCGAGCAGCTCGAGGGCAGCTTTACATTTTGCACTCCCCGCCTCCTCGTGTGGATTGCCTTTAAACAAATATGCGACAAGATAGATGATACCAAGGCTCAATATCGAAATCATAATGAACATCTTTCACTCGTTGCAGTTGATCTTATCTGTGGGGTTTTGCGCCTCTCTCACGACTTACAAACCTTCATTTTCCATCACTCGACTGCGTCAAGCATGTGAATGTGCATCTCTCACGGCAAGATCCCACGCATCTGGCTACTAGGTAGTCAATAGTACGGTCTACTCATCAAGTTTCCAGCGTCTGCGCTCAAGTGAGCCTGCGTCTAATGAGTCCTTTACTGCATGATTTCCCGGCTCTCGTTCGTTGCTTGCCCCTATGTCGCCTACCCTGCATTAGTACCTATGGAACCTTGATGGGCAGCTTCCAATTTTCTGTCAAAGGGGTATCTCCGAGACAAGCGTCTACTGTTTGAAGCTCATAAAACAAATGCTATTCATTCTCGAAAGCATTGTTGAGGTAGTTGACAAACGACTCCCTCAACGTGTCGGCAGCCATGTTGGTCACCTTCTCCAGCCCAATGCCCCCTCTGTTCAGCGCCATGAAAGCTCTCCTGTGCCTCTGCAGCTCCGGCAGACCAGTCTTCCTCGTCGCCGGCAGCTCGACAACCAGATCCTTCTTGCCACCGCCGCTGCTGAGAGGCACCTTGACCTCGCCGCCGCCGTCGTCGCCCTGCTGGTCCAGGATCCGCTTCACGATATCCTGCGTCTCGCGGTCCAGCACGTACAGGTAGTCGCCACTTGCATCGCGCCCTCGCTGCTCCGTGGCCTGGTTCGGCTTGATGATCTTACGACCGTCACCGGCGATGGCTTCCCAGAGGGAGTCAAATGTCTTCTTGACCTGCTCCTCGTCGTCCTCCCATATGATTGTGAACAGAGGGCTGTCCCAGCGAGTCATTGGATTCGGTTCCTCATGCCGGAAGACGAGGTTCTCCCAGTTGGCAGGCTCATACGCCTCTGCCGTGTCGCCGGATGACGCATCGTCGACGCCCCCTTGATCAGCTGCAGCTGCAGCCTGGCTTCGTTTCAGCCTTGCCTCATTGACCTGCTGCGCGCGCTCCTTGGTACACCCAATCTGCAATATGCAGCTCGGCGTTCGAACGGCCTTTGCCTCGCAGTGCAGCTGGTACCGCCAGCCCTTGATGTAGTTGAGGCCGTCGAGTATGACAATGTCCCTGTCGCTCAGCACCCTCTTGACGGCGCCGTAGATGGCCGCCCGCGCGTCCTTTTCGCTCGCGTTGGCCGATCTCGCGTGCACCGGCACGGTGGACAGATCGTAGACGGAGCGCGATATTGAGAGGGAGTCGTCTGATATCAGGTGCAGCCGGTACTTTGTCCCGGCGATGCGGGTGGTGAGGTAGTCATGCAGCTGCTTCGCCCGTGTCGACTTGCCCGACGTCGGCAGGCCCGTGAGGATGATGAGCTGCAGAGGAGCGCGTGCGATGTTAGAGGTTTGGGTTTATGATGTTTGGTGGTGACGAAGTGCTTGCGCGCAAACTTACGCAGCGGGTAACGTACGTACCGGCATCTTGTTGCCGAAGTCAATGTGAATCTGATGGACGGTGATGTTGTCGCAACTGCGACTGCTCCTCTATCATGGTGGGGGTTTGGGCAAAGATTTTTGTGTGGCGGTACCTCAGGTCATTAGTGTGCTGGAGACGTCACTCAACCCAAGCCTTGACGGCTGCCTCCCATATTGACTTGTCGGTCTGGATCACATCAAACAAGCTGCAATCGATCTAAATCTCTGATTCGAGCACACGAATCATGCCTCCCTTTTCCAACCAAGCCCAGATCCGCAGCATGCAAGCCCACGCAGCATCTCCTTGCACCGCCTCTCTCAAAACGCTCAATCCATTCGAGCAGGATTCACAGCCTTGACCCCAGAAGTCGGCGCGTCGGCAGACCAAGGCGCCGAAACCCCGGAATTTCTAGCGGCTTAGTCACTGAACACTGCCAAGAACGTTGGAGGGCCAAGAGAGATCCTGCGAAGATGGCGCTGTTCCTGAAGTGGTAATTCATTCAACGCGACCAATCAGGTGTTGCTGTCCCTGTTCCTGGAAGCCGACAATGGGGATCCCCAGGGCTTATCGAAGCTTTCGGTTGCGTGTAAGGCGTTTGGCGAAGGAATTGGGATTCGAGCAAAGGGGGGCTGCGAAATGGTTGCCATTGCTCAATGGCTTTCTTCGAATTCTATTCAGCTATTCAGCCTAGCTGTGTGCCGGAGGCCGTAGCGTTCGTGGCGATGGAGAAGCTTAGAGAGAGGGTTGGGCTGGTGATGCGAAAAGGTTATAAGCTCGAGGGTCTCCTGCGTCTTGCGTTATTCAAAAGCATCCCATACCGACAGCAACTCGAAGACAGTCTGAACTATACTTCAAGGCAAATACAAGAGTTCTCTTTGAAAATCAAACATAGAGAAACCTAATCATCTTCTGCCCAAGACTCTTCGCTGTCTCCCATCTCTCCTCCCACGATTTACACAGGCTCGACTCAAATCACAACACCACCCCTTCCAACACAATGACGCGCCCCCTCGAATCATACGACGACATCGCCATCGCCGAGCTCTCCTACTACGCCTTCGCCCTCGTCGGCGGCATCTTCCTCTGCCTCAAGCACGGCTTCGCCAGAAACGCTGGCTTCAGGTCCCTCGTCATCCTCTCCCTCGCCCGCATCATCGGCGCCTGCCTCCGCCTCGCGACCATCTCGTCCCCGGACAACATCAACCTGTACGTTGGGTGGATGACGCTCGAGGGCATCGGCCTGGCGCCGCTCATCATGCTCGCCCTGGGCCTCCTCTCCCGTGTCTTCGAGTCGATCCACAGCAAGGGGCGCATCCTCGTCCGGCCGCAGCACCAGAAGTTCGTCGAGCTGCTGATGCTGCTGGCCATCATCCTCCTCATCGTGGGCGGCACCCAGTCCGACTTCAGCATCGTCGACGGCAAGCCCAAGGTCAAGTACTCCACCGTCAGCCACGCCGCGCTGGGCATCCTCATCGCCATCACGGCCCTGCTGGCCTTTGCCATTGTCCTCGCCGTGCTCAACCAGGGCCACGTCGGCGCGGGCGAGCACCGCATCATCTTCACCGTGGCCGTGTGCTTCCCCCTGATCCTCGTTCGCCTCACGTACTCGTGCCTCATCATCTTTGGCGGCATCACTTCCAACGCCTGGCTCTACCTCGGCATGTCCTCCCTCATGGAGATGATCGTCACGCTCTTGTCGGAGATCCTGGGGTTCAACTTGGACAAGGCGGTGCCGCAGCCGGTGCCTCGAAGCGATGAAGAGATGCAAGCCTTCAGCAGCAGTAAGTAGGAGAAAAACTGCTTCAGGGGAGAAAGGGGGGGTGCTGCGTTTGATGGGATGGATGTACTAAGGACGACCAAAAGAAAAAGGTTATAATAGGATGAGCGCGGAACGGCAATGGGATTATTAGAGTGTTCAATACCCCCTTTGAAGGTTTGCTTTGGAGTATCTCGGTATGAAGAGTTGGATTGCGTTACATTTTTTCGCAGATAATATGGATTTCTATGATAGATTAGTCTCTAGCCTTGATCCAATAGACGTCGTTTGCTCTTGTGTCCAACTTCATCATGATCTGATTGTAAAAAGCCAATTCTCGAGGTGGTATAGGTATGTATACATGCGTAACCAAGGATAAAACGTAGCAAAGCACAAGTATATGGGGATACGCAAGAGAGCAACTGCTTCCGCCATGCTCTACATGACCGCACAGCAAGCCTTCTCCAGCTTCCGCAGCAGCAGAGGAAGAAGACCCTCCTCCTCCTCCTCCGGGGGATACTCCTCCTGCGGAGGCTGGTGCTGGGGAGGCCGATGCTGGGGAGGCCGATGCTGTCCACCACCATGCTGCGGCGGCCGCGAAGGAGGCGGGACCGGCTCGCCTCCCTGCAGATTAATGTATATCCTGCCCTCGTTGTCCTCGACGCTGTACCTCAGCCCCAGCTCGCGGCACAGCTCCTCCACCTTGGGCTTGAGCTTCTGGACGTGGTTGGCCGAGTGGTTGCCGCGGCCGACGATGGCGTGCAGGTGCGTCTGCCCGCGGGCCTGGTCCGCGCGGATGCGCTGCTCGAGGATGCGCTCCGCCTCCTCGACAAACTGGCCGTGCAGGTCGATGCAGTCGGGCTCGACGCGGCCCGGCGCGTTGTTCTCGCGGAAGATGTACTCGGACGCCTGGCGGTTGTACTCGCGCATCTTGGCGTCGTGCGCCTTGCCCTCGTTGGAGAGCTCCTTGGCCCTGGCGCCGTCGCCATCTTCGTACGCGCGGCGGCTCTGGATCGATGGGCGGGCAGTTGATGTCAGTTCCATTGACACACCTTTCTCTCGAAGGCTGGCTGGGTTCTGGTTTCAACGTACTCGCTCGAAGCAATCGTTGCGCTTGTTGGCTTCGGCTCGGGCCAGATCGCGCAGGCGGTCGTACTCGCGCTCTACGTCTTCATTGTCCTCGTGGAAGGCTGTGCGATTGTTCCCTCTCGATCAACGATCAGCCATTTGTGCTAGACAAGCTTTAAGCACACACACAGAGAGAGAGAGAGCAGTTGAGGCCTCCTTGGAACGGGTGTGCGATCCAGCGACTCACCGCGATTGCCCAGCCGCGTCATAGGAATCGCCATCTTTGCGATTTTGCGTCGGTGCCAAAGTCAGTTCAGCTCAATGTTCACCGCTGCATCCAAGACATAGATAGATGATACTGAAGATGAAGGCGCGCCGTCGACGGGAGAAATAATGAATCAAAGCATAACTGAAGTTTCGTGTTCCTAGTTCTCCCATCAAATCGTTTCCTTGGGCGCTTGCAAGTTCATCTAGCTCGCGGCTGATTGGAGAATTCGCCGGCCAGTCGGCTGGAGACCCGAGCCAACCACATCTGAGAGAAATCGGGCAGCAGCGCAGATCCGGCGCCTCCACCAGCGCGATTCCGCATCTTGTTGAATCTGGTGTGGCTCTGGATGGGGGTTTTGAGGTCAGGAATCGTCATTGTATGGCATTTCGGTCAGATACTATCTACTACTATTTCGAGGTGGCTTCGTTTCCACGCAGCTCTGACGTAGATGGAGAGCCGCTCTATGCATAAGTAGGTACCTAGATAGGTAGTAGACGAAGCACGGCTCTGGGTAGAAGAAGGTTTTTGCCTTGCATCAATGTATACCTTGCTAGCCGTGTACTTTGCAGGGACTTTTACCATCTTCAAAGTTTTGCTGATGCAAGAAACAACAGCTCTACAGAGGCCTCTCTTTGGAGGGAAGACGCAAACACTCTCCTAGGTAGTACCGCGTCTCCCACAACACCTTTTCAAGCCTACACATCCCACGATGAATGGAGCGATCCGAGAAACCTCGTATCATTCCAACGACTCAACTGCTCATCCTCGTAGCTCTGTTAACATTACTGCTAATAAGCCAAGGCCTCGCCAGTCCTCACCACGGGGAAGCACGGCCTCGACGCATGTCGTGGAATTGGAAGTTGAGATAATAACTATGACAAGCGATTATACCTTAATGACCGAGCTCCAGCAATTGCTCGGACAAGTCCGTTCTTTGCACGGGGCACCTCATTTGTCCGCTAATTAGTATGGCTGTAGTTAATATACGGAGCACGAAGCATCTTCAGATTTGATCCCGATGGACCGAGATCTCCACGTGGATATTGTCTGTCATGAAACGTGCGAAAAGGGCTGAGGAGGAGCATCACCCGAGTAGAGAGACCTTGTATGATGAGCAAAAGCAAAGATGGCGCAGCAGGGCGTAAAAGGGCTGCATAGACTACAATCTTATTTGTGAGCCCGGTCTATCCATTTCCGCGTACCTTTGAAGCAGGGAGAGCGCAGTACTACCTGTCCATGACTTTCGCTTGATGTAGCTGACCAGGACTGATGGTGGCCTATAGAGACTCACCAAGGAGCAAAGTACTCGTACGACACCCGAAGACGCCATCTCCTCCTACGAGAACAAGCAAGGGGGGATGTCAGGCTCAATACGAACCTCAGACAACCGAACTAGTACTAGGGATGAGACCAGCATCCCGGCCAAGGCTGCTGGAAGATCGCGGACAGATTGTTCCAGGTTAATTTCGAGATTGCCCATCAGGCCAATGTACGATACAAGCGGCTGTTGCCATGTTGACTCGCTTTTCGCTCGGTGGACTTCGGGGGGGCCTGGCTGCTTCTCGTGTTTCACCGGAAGGATTGAAACGCATCTCGTCGGGATGCCGCCACATCGCCTGGCCCGGGGGCTCTAATTGCCGTGCGTGCTTTGAACCGACGTCGTCGAGCGAAACCCCAAACGGAGATTTATACTGCAACATGGAAAGCATCATCAAGGCCCTGCGGGCGGAATTTCTGCGCACTCCCTGTTTGATCAACCGTTCGTGCCGTCGACTGCATGAAGAACAAGAGTCATGCTCATATCCGCAAATGAGGAATGATGACACGATGATCACCCTCGCCATTTCGGTCGACGGCCTGTATTATGTACTAGTATCGTCGACGGCAAAGCATCTGGGAGAAGTCATGGACGAATCCCAAAAGGCGCCAGTGTAGGATCAGAAGGATCAGTGCGCCCTTTTCGATCTCTGCATCTTGGATCAGCACCAAGAACCGGTGCTGCTCTGACAGGATACATTGGACGGTGCATGTGCTCTGGACGCACAGACAAGACGCCGCAATCAAGTCAAGCTGCATGGCGCTGCATGGCCCAGGCTGTCATCTCCTGCAGCGGCTGGCCCCGGTTCAGGGGAGGGACGATTGGACAACCGGAGTTGTGTGTTGATTGATGGATGTCTTATCCGCTCTTGATGGACATGTATGTATTAGTCTGCCGATTCGCAGACGAAGAGGATAAGAGTAGAGTGATGGCCATGCGCTGCGAGAGCAAGTATGTAGTATATAGGGTTCAATCCCCAACAGACAATAGTATCACGAAGCTGCTGGCGCCAACAAGTCGATCGATTTCGGTAGTGCGTCCAAGCGACCACCGGCGGATTTGGCCGTTCAACCGCCTCTCCTGCGCCAAGCAAGGCGAGCGGGCGCGTGTCCCAGGAGACGAGGCATGCGGATGATTGATCCTGAGTGATGAGCAGCAAATCGTTACGACGTGTAGAAGATGCTCCGTAGGATATCAGAGAACTTGCGGGGAGTCATCAAGGTGATCTTCTCTCGCGCCGTATGTACAAGGCGCTCCAGCGACCCTAACAGTGCGTGCAACCCTCGTTGGCAAATGAACCAACATGCGTCTTCGCATGTCCGTGAGAAATGGCCAATGTCCGGAGTCGATTCGTCATTCGACATCCCATTGCCCAAAAGACATTGTACCTTGAATCCCGTCCCGTCCATCAAGCCTTGTTACGAGGAGACCTACCAAGTAAAAATCCCGTGCCAATACCTTGTACCTGCAGTAGTCGACAAGGCCAGCCAGTCAGTCAGTGGAGCGAGCCAAATGAGGATGCTAGCGATTCAGCGCAGATGAGCGCTCAGACAGAGTCAAACGGCGGCGGCGGCGGCGTCCTGTTTTGAACCTGTACCTGTAACCATGGCGGCAGTGGGAATCTGTGTCCAATCTGTACTACCGCAGGAGGAGATCCAGATGGCATCTACTAGGTACTAGCAGCAACCGTCAGGCTAGGACTCGATGATTGCTGGCAACTGTTGGTCATTGTAATACCCGCGGAACGCTGCTCTGTCCCCCTCGTCCTCTGTCTGTACTTCGTCTGCAAACGAAAAGAGTGCGGATTGTTTGGTGGATTGCGCAGGACACGGGCGAGCATGGGATGGATGGATGCATGTATGGCGTATTGTATGCATCGATCAGACTCAAGCAGGACGGACGACAGCTCAGGTTGCTCGCTGGTAGCCGCCCCGTATTGCTCGGTGCTAGGAAATCGAACCAGTTGGCCCCAGAGTTGCCCCAACTCTGGTAGCACCGAGGAGCAGGGGGGTTGATCGAATGTGTGAGGAGGGGGGTCACGGAGTAATACATGGCGTCAAACCAGCATGATCTTCCCATTGATCTCTGCTGCTCTTCGCGTGGCACGACTGGTTCAGACCCCTTGGGTTTGTCTCTCAAACGGCGGCGAGTCTGCGTCAGACGCTGTCGTTCAATGCCGTTCAGTGTTTTATATCTGCCGCTTCGACACCGAGGCCGCTGTGTCAGCTTCTTGTGAGCTGTCGAGTACCTCTTGTATCAGATTGCATGGACCTGGTGCTTGTCCGGTGAAAAACGGTGGCGTTTTCTGGGCCTTGGTGCTGCTGCTGCTGCTCGGCTCGACGCAGGTGCTCACATGCAATTTACTCGGACATGGGCGCAGATGGACTAATGCACCTCCGTCTGATTAAGCTCCGTAGTTTCGCTCCGTTATAGTATATTACTGGCGCTGGATTCATTGTACTTGTGCGACTGACGACGGTTTGGGGAAGAGCATGATTGCCTCTGCAAGTGTCCTGTGTCTCGCAAATTGGCGGTCATCGTACGGAGTACAAGAGGAGACTGGAGCTGTCATCGTACAAAGGACAAAGGAGCAGCAAACAGGGCCGTCACCTCTTGGACCTGCGTAGTTGTAGACTCGTCTGGTCTGATATCTGCAGCTCGGAGGACTCCGTGATATCGCGCAGTTGCGGACGAGTCCAAGCGCAACCGAGACCGTTGATCTGGCAATGGGACGGCGTAACAGAAGCCAATAATTTGTTCGAGAAGCCTCGAGGCGACGCGACTAACGATGGTTCAGTCGCCTGCACGGAGCAGGTCGATGCAGTACCTGTACAAGCATGTTCCTGGTCGGGGGCGCCCCTGGTCTCTCGGGTCTCCGCTTTGCAGGACATGAATTTGCTGCCCTGGCAGAAGCTGGAAGCCATTCTGGCGATCCTCCGTGAATGCAGCGGCCTGGGGTCGTCTCCTTCATCCTGTGAGAGGCATCATGTCTGCCCCTCGACAAATCAGCAAAGAGCACAAGGACCAAAGGAAGATCGCGGGGAGGAATAACATGTACATAGACACGGCTCGTACGAGGATACATGTAGAGAGGCACGACAACTCAGCAAGCAACGATGCTCCCACAAGCTCCGGCCCAGCAAACGGGCATCGCATCAGCATCGTCAACGTTGAAATTGAACATGGGGGTCGAGATGCCTCCCTTCCTCGCCCAGAGCATCGACCCGCCAGGGATCAGGCCCTTCTTCTCCAGGGGATCCCCCGTCGCCGCCAGCTTCTCGAGGACCGTCGTCCCCACCACCACAGCTCGACTCCCACCCTGATTCCAGGGCCTCCCGACGCTCTCAGTGGCCCAGACCGGGGGCGCAATTGAACCGGCTAATGGTCGAACCCCCGTTCGTGCCAAATCCAGCATCCTGGAGTCCATGTGGCCTCGTGATTGGCCGCTTCATCAAGATGAGTGAGCCCTGGGACATTAAAAAGTGCAAGAAAGGGAACACCAAGGTGATGGTGGCCCGCGTAAGAGGTACGAGTAGGAGTAGTGCGTGCATAGGTCTAGTACGGAGTGCGGCAAGACGTGCAGACGACTCGTACCGATACATGGCGAGAGGCTGCGATAACAGCAAGTTCCAACAGCCAGCCTGCCATCCGTTGAAGCCTTTCATGCGCCTCATCCATCCATCATCCCTTTCGCTTTGCTGAGCCGCGTTGCACCGCATCGCAGCCTGGCCTTGGGTCGTCTCTCATGTGCTCTCTGCTCCTGACCTGCGCCGGAGCCATCCCGCAACGGGGCCTCATCAGACTGCATGATTCGTCGCCTACTCCGATCGCATATGAGCGAAGGTGAGGTGAGGCTCTCGCCAGCGGCGACCTGGTGCTTGCTCTGCTCTTGCGCCTTGCCTCCCATGCGACCGCTGAAATTAACCATCATGCTGCCACTGCGTCCACCTGCGACCTCGTCCGATAGCTGCACAGTACGCGCCACTGGCCCGTGCAAGCTCCAGCAGCTCTGATCGGGCATGCAATTAAAGCGCATCAATGTATCTCTGGAGATCCCGGTCAAGCCACCCAGAGGTACCCAGTCGTGTGTCTTTTGCAGCAGCTCCCGCGGCTTGAGCATCGGTCAGGTACAGCTTCACGACACAGACGGCGCGGGAACGGGTACAGGTACGCGCCCCAGACAGACGGGGCGGGCCAAGTGTAGACTGCAACGCGCACTGTGTACTTGCGCAAAAAGGAGATAGACAGTGCCAGACAATCATCGTCCCATAGCATTAGCGCCGCGCTGCACTGTGCTGATCCACCAGTTCGGGCTGCTGCGTGCTCTGTCCCCGTTATTAACGTGACGGCTCCTCGCAGCGCGCTCCCTGCCTGCAGCGGCGGTGGAGCCACTGAAGCTCCAGCGCAGGCCCTGAACCCGCCCAGACAGACCCCCGGCGACCCTGGGCAGCTCCACAGTTCCCAGGGCGGGCTCAGGTACGGTGCAGCGCAGGTACTGCGGCGCTCCCTTTTCGCGCAGCGCTAGTACAAGTACTTGCAGGCGTCCCCAGCAGGGCCCCAGCAGGTACCGCGGCCAAAGGGCCCCCTAGGGACGGGCAATAGTACCAGCCTCAGGCCGCTACTACACCTGCTGGAGCCGTGTACAACTACCTAGACCTACCTTGGCCCAGCTCTCATGTTCTCCTGCTCGGCCATTCCCTTTGCAGCAGGCCTCTCTTTCGCATCCTCCCCCAGCCGCCGCTGCTCCTCCTCGCCCCCCCCAAATCTCCATTTCCGTCGCGCATCTCATTTCACACGACGCCCAAATCTGCGTCTTCCACACCTGCGCACCAACTCTTTCCTTGGCCATCTTCACTTCTCTCTTTGCGGTTTTTGCTCGTGTCTGCCTTTGAATTGCCCGCCATTGGCATTCATCCTCGCCTAGCAGGCCGTCATTCTAGTAAGCATCGCTCCCTCTGCTCCTCTTACGCCCCCTTCTCCCCTCTCCCGCTATTTGTTCATTCTTTTTTTTTGCTTTTTCTGTTCTTGCCTGCCTTGGAGGAGCCTCGCTTCCACATTGTCCTTGTCTTTTTCTCTCTTTGGCGTTGCGGATAGGGCTTCATCAATCGCGACTGCGCCTTGCGATTCCCCTCGACCTCCAGCCATCCATCTTCGTGAGCGACACGACGCGAATCCTCTCACTGAGCTTCTTGCCGTTGAACGCTTTCGCGCGTGCACCGTCGCGATTGCCTCTGCCATCCGCGGGCGACAGTGGTTAATTTCTGCGACGAACCCCCTGACTAACCGCGACTCCTCTCCAACAGTATCAGCGTCTGCATCACTGGCGACTCCAGACACGTAGCATACGCGGAATCATTCATTTTCACCTCATTATAATTCTTCTCTTTACAAATCGAGTTATTTATTCAGTCCACCATTCAAAGTCGCCAATATGGGTTGCGGAATGTCTACGGAGGACAAGGAGGGCAAGGCCCGGAACGAGGAGATTGAGAATCAGCTCAAGCGGGACAAGATGATGCAGCGCAACGAGATCAAGATGTTACTTCTGGGTATGTGCTCTCCATGTCCATGTGCCACCGCTCGCGGCCGCCTGCTCTCTTCCGTCCCATCTCCCGAGTGACGCGACCCGACTAATGATTGATTGCACAGGTGCTGGTGAATCTGGAAAGTCAACCATTCTCAAGCAGATGAAGCTGATCCACGAGGGCGGCTACTCTCGCGACGAACGCGAGTCGTTCAAGGAAATCATCTTCAGCAACACTGTCCAGTCCATGCGTGTCATTCTCGAGGCCATGGAGTCTCTCGAGCTGCCCCTCGAGGACCAGCGCATGGAGTACCACGTCCAGACCATCTTCATCCAGCCCGCTCAGATTGAGGGCGACGTCCTGCCCCCGGAGGTCGGCGGTGCCATCGAGGCTCTGTGGAAGGATCATGGTGTGCAGGAGTGCTTTAAGCGATCTCGCGAATATCAGCTGAACGATTCAGCAAGATAGTAAGTCGTCTTTCGCTGACGCCACAAACGTTGCCCGCTCGCATGCTCACCTCGTGGCAACTACTAGTTACTTCGATAATATCGCGCGAATTGCCGCTCCCGACTACATGCCCAACGACCAGGACGTCCTCCGATCACGTGTCAAGACCACTGGTATCACCGAGACGACATTCATCATTGGCGACCTGACCTACCGAATGTTCGACGTCGGTGGCCAGCGATCTGAGCGAAAGAAGTGGATTCACTGCTTCGAGAACGTCACCACCATCCTCTTCCTGGTCGCCATCTCCGAGTACGACCAGCTGCTGTTCGAGGACGAGACGGTCAACCGAATGCAGGAGGCCCTGACGTTGTTTGACTCCATCTGCAACTCCAGGTGGTTCATCAAGACGTCCATCATTCTCTTCCTCAACAAGATCGACAGATTCAAGGAGAAGCTGCCGGTCAGCCCGATGAAGAACTACTTCCCCGACTACGAGGGTGGTGACGACTACGCGGCGGCGTGTGACTACATCCTGAACCGCTTCGTCAGCCTTAACCAGCACGAGACGAAGCAGATCTACACACACTTCACCTGCGCCACCGATACCACCCAGATCCGCTTTGTCATGGCGGCCGTCAACGGTATGAGATGGCTTTCTTTCTTTCCTCCAGCTCTTGATTGGCAGTCCCGACTAACTTTTGGTGCTAGACATCATCATCCAGGAGAACCTCCGTTTATGCGGTCTTATCTAGACGAACTGCTGTTTTTGTTATTTTTTCTCTTTTTCTATCATTGTTTTTATTTAAGACGCACGAATACCCTCAAACTCGATTACGACCGCCACCAGATGGGCCACGGAGATACGGCTCATGATCTTGATTGTTCTCCTTGCGCCAGCGAGACACGAAAGCCAGCCCAAGGAACTTCTTCTCTTTTTTTCTGCGGGCTTCTCCTTCGCAATCTTCGACTGTCCTAGATAATGGTATTTTTTTTTCTTAAGCTAAGACTCTATGGCGAGCATTCGGCATTTGCAGACTTGTGAGAGTCGGGAAGATGCTGTGTATCAAAACGAAATCTTCTCTTCTTCATTTCCGAAAAAGGAAGACGCTGTGGCCACACGTCGTTTGTGAGGAAAGGGGGGAAAGAGGCCGTCGAGGGGAAAGGGAAAACGGCGTGGCAGCTCATGGGAAGAAGGGAAACTACTTACATCTGACACGATGGTGCGAATGGGCGGCGGCCATTTACTTTGTTTAATTATGAAACCACACCTTTTTTTTTCTCCATCTCTCTCTCTGCGGCCTGTCATTGTTTTTAAACAAAAGTGTACCTTTCATGTATCCAAGCTTCAGTTTTTTGTTCTCGCATATTCATCGTCTCTTGTCAAGCTGGTTTGATGTGCCGTCGCCCTTTAACCGTGGTTTCTCTTCTTTCCTCTTGTCTGTGTCCTGCTGTCTCCGAGTCGAAGTCAGACAAGGAATCTTTGCCTTTTATACCTTTTCTGATTTCTTTCATATATACGCGTTCCGTTCTTCCTTTTCTCTTTTGATTTTGGATTTTACATAGTGCGAGGCAAGCCGATGGAGGGAAAGGGAGATACTCGGGCATGTTATTTTTTGGTTTCTTACTTCGGTGTGTATGTTGTGTGTATGTAAGGGGGGGAAAAGGAAGTGGAGGAAAGGGGGAGGATTAAGGATATTATCAGCATTTCTGGGGTAGGTGTAAAATTCTCTTTTTTCTTTTTCCTTTTCTCTATATGTTTTACCGTATGCAATACATTTATGATTTCCATATAAGTTGCTCTTTTAACTTGCTGTGTTCGTGATGCTCGATGTTTTGTGACGATGCAATTGATGGGGCCCGTGATTTGCTGATCCTGGTCTTTTGAAACTTCTTGGGGCAAAGGCGAGAAGTTGTCGATGAGAATCACCGGCTTCTATACAGCCCTCCATGTTTTAGAAAAGTAAAAAAGACAGGAGAACCAAATGGGTATTTCGCATGGCCTATGGGTTTGCTAACCTAACCTAGTCCCCAGCAAACCTACCAAAACTGGGGGTATATATCCTCTCTTATAAAAAAAGAAAAGAAGATTCAGCACAGGCATTTGTCCAAATTCTGCTCCTGAAATGCGTCATGACCAAGATTCGCAATTCCATCGATAGCAACAAAGCCTCAAAAGAAGAAGGAGAGAGAAGAAAATCCCAAAATCCAGCGTAAGGACCAGACCATAAAAGGCAAACAGAAGAAGAAGAAGAAGGAAGAAGAAGAAGAGTGGGAGCGCGCAAAGCTTATGTTTCAAGAGACCCAAATGTATATGACCTTGTATATCATCACGAGATGGTGTAAAAGAAGACGTAGGGTATAGAGTTTCCAATATCTCTTCCCTGGAAGTGTAAGATGCCGAAACAGCAAGCATCCAGAATCCAGGCTTTGTTGATTGAGAATAGAAAGTTGACCAACGTAATAGTTCGCATAGATCGCCAGCAGAGCTTTTCTCGTAGCTAGGCTTCAGCTTAACTTGTGAAAGAAAACTGCTGAAAAAAGTCGTCCTCGTTCCTTTCAGGAGCAAGTTAGTACTCGAGAAGAGCGGTAAACTCTTGAAACTGACATACCTGCTCCAGTGGTGCCATACTGGCCAAGAAAGCTGCCAAGGTGGGCATTCGTGACGTCCCAATGATGTCTCTTTCTGTCGATTTGCCCCTTCTCCTTCAACACGTGCTTAATCGAGCAGGCGAAGAAGATTTAGGCATCGGCAACGAAACAACAGGGCATCTCATTTCAGACGCCCATCCCAAGGAGCATCCACCATGGAAACCTCAGCAGCCTGAGAATAGGTAGTCTGCGCTCGCTCCCTGTCGACGGCAGCATTCTGCTCGGCGACGCCCTCGGGGGTCTCCAGGTACTCCTCGTATTCCGCAATGCGCATGCCGAGCTCCTTAGCAGCGGCTTCAATGCGCGCGAGAAAGCGCTCCCTCTTGGAAAAGGTGGCGACGTCGGTGATGGTCTGGGTGATGAGCCGCTTGGTCGAGTCCGACAGGCCCTAGCTGCGGACGTCGACGGAGAGACTACGGGGGTTGGTGGGCGCGGGGGGATGAGGGGGACGAGGAGGAGGAGGAGGGGGCCCCTGAGAGAGCGAGGCGAGGATGGTGGCTCCCGAGGCGGCGGCGGAAGAATTGGTGTACAATGCTTGCGGCATGGGATGGTTGTTCTCTGCTTGGACTCATCAGCATCAGAAGTGAGATGAAGCTGGCGATGTTCACGTCACTGAGAAGGGGTTGAAGCGGAAAAAGAGACGAAACAAGACCAGGACAGACAAGGGATGAAAGCAAAGAGTGAAACAGACACATTCACCCATCCTTTCCGTCCGAAAGAAAACTCACCATGAAACGTGCACCGGGAGCCGCTCGCGTTGAACCAGCAGTTGGTGCAGCTGCCGCACATCTGGCCCTCGTAGACGATGCACTGCGACCACGGGCCGTGGCCCTTGCGGCAGTTCTTGCACGGGTGGGCAGCGGGCTGGCCCGTCATGTGGGCGAGCAGGGCCTCGACGTTGCTGCGGCGCTCAATGTTGAGCTTCTGGTCGGCGCGGCGCTGGACGGGCTTGCGCAGGGCGGCCTCCGAGGCCAGCTTCTTGCACAGGGCGCTGTCGATCTTGACGAGGTCGCCGTAGGCCGCGTAGGCGATGTCGGCGGCGGTGCGCGCGCGGCAGGCGACGGCGTCTGTGGGCGAGGCGTACATGGAGTGGGAGAGGCGCTGGAGGTCGGGCTGCGAGCCGTCGGCGGTGCGCGCGGGCATTCTTGCGGTGCCAATGGCCAGCATGGTGATGTTGGGGCTTTGGTGTTGATGGCCGTGAACATGAGCTTGGAGATGTCACTGAGTAGGTGAGCTTAGCACTTGGCGCTGTTGTGGTTCAGTTCAACTTGAGAGAAGCGCAAAGTGGGGCGCTGCTTGCACTGATTGACCTCAGGTAACATGAAAGCACTGATGGTTGCCCAGCAGCACCTCAGCTTCGTCTTGGCCCAGCACAGCATCTCAGCAGCTTCAGGTCTTCATCTTTGGCTGGCACTGTATTATTTGTAATGTTTTTACATGTTATTTCTGCTTCCTGGTAGGCAAAATCATCACTGCGCTTTGCCAATATTCATATAATCATCCAACGTTGTTGCTCTATGCTTCTTGTATATCAAGCTTGTCCCGCTCTGCATCTGCCTGATCCTCACGTCCTAGCGTTCAGGTTGCTGGGCTGCTCCCATATTCCCTGGCCCCGACCCTCGGTAATCTCCTTCCACCGCTGCGCAAACTCTCTCAAGCCCCCCTCTCCCGCCAGACTGGCATCCACAACCTCCTTTGGAAGCTTGTGAGCAGAGTACTGTGGCGAGCTAAAGTTGTATGCCTCCGGATCGTTCTTGCGGACGATGCGAATCTCTGGCTGGCGGCCCGGGCTATACTCGTCTCCCGCGTCGTCATCCGTCTCATCTGCCGTCTCTCCTCCGCTTCCATCTGCCTGATGCTCGGAAACAGACCCGTACAGCGGATTCTCAACCTCCATGGTGAGAAGCTCCTCCCACGAGAACAACAGGCTGTCCGTGCTGGGAGCCCATGGATTGATGTCCATGAGTCTCACCTTTCCCAGGCCATCCTCGGCAAAGGTGTTTCCGGGGATATAAATGTCAAAAGCAAAGCAGGAATCGGGGAACGTCAGTCTCAGCTTCTGGTAGAAGAATGTCCTGATCTTCTTCCACAACTGGCCCTGGAGCCTTTCTAAAAAGTCGTAGTGGTTCAGATCTCGTTGCGTGATCCCAATGAGCGCACGATGCTTGACGAAACACCTAAACTCCAGGGCAACGTGAGGTGTGAAGAAGGGTCTGAGAACCAGAACGGGCGTAAAGGGTCTCGACGGTGGAGTGTCTGTGCAGTCGTCGAATGCATGAAGAAGATCATGAGATACGAAGGAAGATGACTTCAAGAGGAGGTAGATGTCGTTGGGGGTTGTGCATTTGAGAGTGTTTTGATGTGGCGATATCCACTTGGCATCCTTGGGAGACGACCAGTTCAGCTTTGGCGCAACAGCGCCGCCGAGCTCAGCAATCTTCTGCTTGATGAGCTCGTGTGTCTCCGGAAAGCGCTTGTTCGGCGGTAGTCTTTCCTCTTCTTCCTCGTCCTCGTCCTCGTCGTCGGAAGAGTCATAGGGCGTTACTCGGGGGTGCGTGGCCGCCGAACTTGACCATTCGGCGTCCTCTGGCTCATTCGCTTCGTCGTCGTCTGCGAGGATGATGCCATCTTCATGCAAGTACGAAACAAAGGCCGGCGGCAGCGGTATGATGCGTGACTTGAGACACGAGCTCCGGTATTTGGGGAACCAGGCTTCGTACGAGCAGTTCTGGATGTGGTCTCTGGTGACGGGAGGGAAGACGACAGAGGGCTCGCCCTCTTTGGGGTCTTTATCGGGCAGGTGTGGCATTTTGGGAAAAAATCCGTTATGAAGGGACTGAAGATAATAATGTTGTTGGGAAAGAATTCAAAGATTTCTAAGAGCAGATATAGGCAGATCAGAGGATGAAATACCCAGACGTTGACTCATCCGCATCCTTCGTCGTTTCATTGCAGGGTATCAAAAGTCTGGAGGGGCGCGGCTTGCCGATTTGCCCCTCCGTTATCGAGTTCTGCCGCGACGTTATCAGTGACAGGTCCTCACCGCCCGACGAAAACGCCATGGGGCTGCTGGCGGCAGTGGACTTTTAGCGGGATAGGCGCTGGAGAAGCCGCTAATGACGGGAGGCAGCGCCAACCTGCAGCTGACTGGAACGAACATGAACCTCGAACCCTTTGCATTCGAGTCCGAGACCGTCCAAAGTCTCCATCTTCAGCCTCCCATCGCCACTCCATATCCGCGGCATCGAACCCTTGTACCCTTCTGCCTGGCGCCACGGTAGCTTCTGCGGCCATGTCTGACAATGTCGGCCTCTCGACGCCGCGAGGCAGCGGAACTTCTGGCTATGTCCAGCGAAACCTCGCCCAGGTCAGGCCGCGCGATTACGCCGCGCCGTATCCCAAAGACCGCGACATGCGACACAAGCAGCGCCAGCCCGACAAGGCAATTCTCGAGCACGATAGAAAGAGGGAGATTGAGGTCAAGGTGTTTGAGCTGAGAGACCAGCTGGAGGAAGAAGAGTACGTCTACTTTTTGGACAGACAACGCGGTCGTGTGGAGGCGGCAGTAGTAGTAACCGTTTCACAGGGTCGAAGAAGAGGAGATTGATCGCCGCTGCGACGAGCTGCGAAAGAAGCTGCTCGCGGAGATGAACTCCAAGAACAAGAACAATGCGCCGAGGCGGGCTTTCAAGGAGCATCAGGTGCACGAGATGGCCGACGCCAAGATCAAGGAGAGCGAGCGGCTGAGGAGAGCGCTCAAGATTAGCTCTGATTATGAAGAGGGGGGACACTGGAAGAAGCAGGAGGAGAGATTGAGGGAATCACTGGCGAAGAATGAAGGTGAAGAAGCCAAGGAGTGATGACACTTGCTGCGAAGAAGGCGACACGTTGGGCCGCTGTCTTCCCGGAGTCTGGACGCTCAGACGGGCCTTGAGACAGCGAATTCAAGTCTCTGAAGAGTCAGACCGAGCAGCGGACCCATCTCCACAGACCCCCTCCCATGTCTTCGATTTCGACCTGCCGACGACTTCACGAAAGACGGGCCTAGTGCTTTAGGAAAAGAGGTGTCGTGGGACAAGCCTGGGTGGTGGTATGAGGTTACCATTGACATTGGAATCAAGTCTGCGTATCTGACACCGGAGTTTGGCAACGAGAAGTGCCCTCTGGGTGATATATGTTCCGAGAGGGATGGCATTACGGTTTTGGGGTTATCTTTCTTGGGTGGCATGGAGTATCGGGAGTCTTCCAGTTATGCGAATTTGCGGTAAATCTTGGTATTGGGTACTTATGAAGCTGAAGTCTGCGGGGGACCATGAAAGTGAGTATCTGTGGCATGAAAGAATCATAATATGCTTCGCATCACGACATCTCAGCGGCGTCATGATGCTCCAAGAGACCGGCTCGAGGCATCAAGAGGTCGCTACTGGGCATCATTGGGCATCATTGGGCATTATCGGCTGGTTGTAACTATTCTCCTGATGCAAACCAGCGTACCACCAATATCATACACGCCCTGGTACCTTATACTACTATTACAATCGAACTTCATCTTGTGAGCTGATACGCGTGTTTAATGCTTGCTTCCCTTCCGGTGATCTTGTGTGTGGCGGCCAACTGCCTAAACCGGCCGGCTGTGGCGCACTGTGAAGCTTCAGCCACATGTCCAACTCCCAGCGACGTAATTCCACATGTAACGCTGTAACACATGCGTCCATCGTCAATCCTGTCGCAAATCCAACGAGTCACCACAAGCCATCTTCACACCTGCCATGGCTTTACTACACAGTCTGCCCGATGGAGAGCAGCCGAGTCTCTCTCCGGTAGAGCTTGCGCAGCTCCTCTCCCGGTTAAAGCAGTCTGTGCTGCATCCGAGCCCCGAACGCGAACGAAGATTGCGCAACAGCGAGTTTGAGAGGACGAGGGTCGAGGCTGTGAGACTTGGGAAACTATATACCGGAGTTTTGGCTGATAGCTAACATTCTGGCATAGAACCTGCAGTATGCGCGGGCGGCGCTGACGAAGCTGGAACATACGCAGCCGGCAAGGAGAGCGGACTCGCAGAGCGACCTCGCAAAACACCGGGAAACGCTGGACCTGTTGTTTGATCGGTTGGATGACCTGCGAAAAGTTTGCGACTTCTCAACTCAAGCAAACGAAGAGCATCGCTGACGTTGGACCAGGTTGCTGTTGACGAAGAAGACTCGTCCGAAGGTGAAGACCTGCTTAGAGACATCATACACACGCCGAGCGAAAGCCAGGACTCGAGACGGTCATCGAATGCGCCGCGGGCAGAAGGCAACGTCGAAGACGAGATACATCATCCCGAGCCCCCTAAACCGCCGTTACAAGCTGAACCAACACCCGAAATCCCTACGACGACGACGACGACCAACACTGGTACTGCAGCGGCTGAGGCCGTCGTCAGTGAACAACCTTCCACACAGACGACACAAGCATTGCGCGCTCGCGCCTCCGCCCCATCACCAGCTCCTTCCGCCCACAGCACCGCTCGATCCGCCCTATTCGCCAACCGCCGCAAGCCCGCCAGCCCAGAGAGGTCGACGGCCACGGCAGAGGCCATCCTCGACCAGCAGCGCTTCGAGCAGGACGCCATCTCCAGCTCGATCCTGCAGATGGCGAGCGCGCTCAAGGAGAGCTCCAAGAGCTTCTCGGCGACGCTGGAGGAGGACAGGACGGTGCTCGGCGCCGCGGGGGCGAGCATGGAGAAGTCGGAGCTGAGCATGGAGGCGGCGCAGGGGCGGATGGGGTCGCTGAGGAGGATGACGGAGGGCAAGGGGTGGTGGGGGAGGATGATTCTGTATGCGTGGGTGTATGGGCTGATGGTTGCCTTGGTGCTGCTGGTGTTTGTGTTTCCGAAGCTGAGGTTTTGAGGGGCTTGTGAGAGGGCTTCTTTTTTTGGGTTGGTATGATTGTTGTTATGATGATATGTCTATAAGAGCATAGACAAGCGCTGATATCCCGGATTTGATGTACTACTAAGCTGTAAAATTGGCTTCTTATGTTGACTGGTTTTGATTTGAGAGCTTGCTTGCCATGGAACCTCGAATGATGAGACTGAGTACATCTGTACACTGACAGCAGCTCATATTCTTCCAGAAGTGCGAATATCTAGCTAGTTTTGAGAGTTACTGAGAAGAGGTCATGGTCACATCCGAATCCAACATTTGTCGTCTGCATCTCCTCGGACTCCTGGAGCGCCACTTGTTCCTCCTCCTCACATCCATCCACCGTGACATCCTTTCCCACATTATCAATATCGATCTTGTCCTGCACAGACATTCCGGAATCTGATTCAGCCGTTATACCGTTGCCGTCACTGCCATGGTCCTCAATGATGGCGTCGTGTGCTTCAGTTGCTTCATCTCCATCCTTGACTTGAGCTTCTTCTTGCAGCGGCGGCCACGGCAAGCCTCTGAGCTGGGCGTTGATCTCAAGACAATACTCATAGCAGAACCGAAGCCGACGGCCAACTGGCTTTCCGCCCGTCTAAAGTCAATCACAGACACACAACGCCCATCAGCTTTTTTTCATTTCCACACGCAACCGCATACACACACACACACACACAAGCATCCCTTCCCCTCACCAAAGCAAGTAGAACGTATATATGAGAGAGAGAGAAAAAAAAAAAACTCACCGGCGGCGAATACTGAAAATAAGAACCAGACATGGTCCCCTGCCCAATCACGCGGTCCTGCCACTCGATCCCAGTCTTGATGCGAAAGAAGTCCATGAAGAGGTCCATTTCGCGGCGCCAGGGCCCGGAGCAGGGGCTGGGCCGGTGGAAGCTGGGCTGGGAGTCGCCCTTTTTCTTGATGAACTTGGCGGCGAACCAGTAGAGATGGGGCTTTGCGTTGGATTCCCAGAGCTGTTTCGTGTGTATAAATTGGATTGAGGTGTTGGTCAGTAAGGGGTGATAGATGGGGGGAGGTTTTGAGAGGATTGAGACTTTGTTATCTTACGTAGAGAGTGTAGCGTTGGCCGAGGTGGCCTGCCTCGATGTCGTCGCGAGTGATGTCGATTTGGTAGTTGAAGAATGTTCGATCGGTGTAGATGTGGAAAAGGTCTAACAGTTATATGAGCATCATGTATGTCATATCAAAGAGAGTGTAATGTTTCTTCTTACTGGTGTTGACGGCCCTCTCGCCCTCTCTCCTGCCTCGCTCAATGCGAGCCTGTTCCCTCTTGGCGGCGTTCTGCTTGGCGAGGATGTTGCGCATGGAGTACTCCCTCTCGGGCTGCCTCTTGTCGTTGACGGCGGAGATTTCGAACCAGTCGCAGTGGACAATGTGCTGTTTCTTTGCTCCGCGGGTGAGAGCTTCTTTGACTGTTTTGTTGTTGTAACATCAGCATAAACGAACTATATACATTTTTACAGCCCGGATGATAAAGACATGAGAGAGAGAGAGAGAGAGAGAGAGAGAGACGGAGAGAGAGGGAGAGAGAGAGAGAGAGAGGGAGAGAGAGGGAGAGAAAGCTAACTTCGGGGAAGCTTCTGGTCAAATTGCTCCCGCGTACACAGGAGGTGCGTGACTTGGTCGGCATCGTAGTCTTCGGTGAAGACGCCTTTGCGGAGGGCGGTCCATGTGCGGAGGTTTTCGACGGTGAGTTGGCCGGGGAGGGGGCCTGCTGTGGCGATGACGAGGTTTTTGAAGATTCGGCGAGGCATCTTCTTTTTTTGCGTTTATGTTTTCTCTGTGTTTGTGTTGATGGTGGAAGGGGGGTGGGGGGGAGGGGGGGAGAAGACTGAATTGTGAGGAGGAGTGAAGATGTGGGATGTTGGGGCTATGAGGTTTGGATGGTATATAGTGAAACTGGGGGAAGGGGATTAGGCCTTTGAGAGGCATGTTGCATCTGCATAATGCAAAGAGCAAGTTCAGGTGTGAGTGAGTGGTAAAGATGTGGTTCAAGGGGTTCGGGTATTGGCGGCGTGGTTGTTCTTTGAGCAAAGGACGACTTACACGTGGAGGCGGAGCTGTTTGGTGGTGCGTGGACAGATGCTACCAAGCTCAGCTGCGGCGCGGACACAAAGCTCGGATTTCACCATGCAATGCTGGAGCGAAGAGGTACACAAGATAGAACACACAGCAAGACTATATGAACATGATTGTGGCAGGTGGTAAAGGCATATATTTGTTCTGGCAATCTATGGTTTTACCCTCGTGCTTGTTCATCTATATCCGCACGTAGACTTTCAACCCGTCTACCCAAATCTACCTGATTGCCTTGCCAGCCTTCACAAAGGCAGTTATTTTGGCCAAACTCTGCTTGCCGTCCTCCTCAACACCACTGCTCACGTCCACGCCAACCACCTGCCTGCTGAACTCTCCCAGGGCATTGACCGCTTCTGCAACGTTGTCGGGGTTGAGACCCCCGGCCAAGAAGATCCTGAGTTCTGGGTCCTTCTGAAGAAGCTCCTTGACGCTCGAGACATCCAATAGCTTGCCGGAACCGGCTCCAGAGTCCAGCAGGGGAACGACGTGATAGCCGCGGAGACCGACGGCGGGATGGTTGGGCTTGAAGCAGCGGATGACAGGCACGGGGATCGCCTTGGCCCACTCAATCGGTTCGTCGCCGTGGAGCTGCACGAGGTCCAGGTTGTACAGCCTCTGCTTCTCCAACACTTCGCTCAGGGGCTGGTTCTGGAAGATGCCCACTACCTGTGTCCTCGGGGTCGTGAGGTTCCTTGTCGTGAGCTCAAAGAAATCCGTAGCGCCTGACGAGGGGATTGACAGTTGGGCAGCGGTTCCAGAAGACCTGGAATATGAATGAACGGCGTCCGAGACGGCCAGGGCGACCTCGTGGGAAGCGGCTCGCCTCGCTCCGGGCACTAGGTTGACGCCGATAAAGTCAGCGCCGGCCTCGACTGCTTCCAGCGCAGCCTCAACGCTTCGAATGCCGCAGATCTTGACGTGCAATTTCTCAGGCGTGTTATCCCTCGGCGGCGGTTTGCTTCCGGAGCACAGTTCGCTGATAAAGGTCGTCGCGTCTGGTGCCTTCATGATGGCCTCGCCGACAAGGACAGCATTGATTCCATCTCTCTTGCAGTCAAGGACGTCCTGATGCTTGTTGATGCCGCTGAGTGCGCAGATGATGGTCGAGTCGGATACCATGCTTCGCAGACGACCCGTGGTGTTGATGTCGACCTCAAACGTCTCGAGGTTTCTGTTGTTGACGCCAATGACCTTGGCACCGAGCTTGACGGCTATCGTCATCTCGTCTGCGTTTTGAACTTCCACCAGAGGCTCCATTCCAAGGGATAATGAGTACTCGTATAAGCGCTCCAGCAGCTCGACCTCGAGCATCTTGACAATCAGCAGCACCGTATCTGCTCCAGCCAGCCTTGCCTCCAGAATCTGGTACTCCTCAAAGATGAATTCCTTGCGCAGGATGGCCGGTCTGTTGGGCATGCCCTCCAACACCTGGCGGACAGCTCGCAGATCCTCGATGCTTCCCTTGAACCACTCGGGCTCTGTCAGGACAGAAATCACGCTCGCACCGGCAAGTGCATATTTGCGGGCCTGCACGGGAGCCTGAACTTCTAACGCGAAGACGCCCTTGGAGGGAGAACCGCGCTTGATCTCCGCCATGAGAGCCACATCGAAAGGCGACTGCTTCAAGCGGTTGACGAATGGTACCAAGGGAGGAGCGCCGTTCAGGTCGTATGCGGCCTGGAGGTCGCTCATCCGCTGAGAGGGAATCTCCTTTTGCTTGGCGACGGCAGCCTTTCGGTTTGCGTAAATGGTCTGAAGGATGTTGTTCTTTTGTGGCTTGGGCGCAGAAGAGCTGGCGGCGGCCTTTGAGGCAGCAGCCTTTTGAAGCCGTTCATTCTCCTCCCAGGTACCGCCCTGCATGTGCAAGAAATTCCTGATCATCACACGACCCTCAGCGGTGAGGATGCTCTCCGGGTGGAACTGCACGCCCTCGACCACATACTTCTTGTGGCGAACTCCCTGGATAATGCCAGCCGAGCCATCTGGCTTGGCAATCCAGGAGGAAACCTCAAGACACTCGGGCAGAGTGAGGTGGGTGCCGGCGAGAGAGTGGTATCGCGTCACGGGAAGGCCTTGAGGCAAGCCGGCAAAGACTCCTTTGGCATCGTGGGTCAAGGGAGAGGTCTTGCCGTGCAGCCATTCACCGGCAGAGGACACCTCGCCGCCATAGATGTCAAAGATGCATTGCCTGTGTACGATTGTAAGTTCATCTTGGGCGAACGAAACGACGAGAAGAGGATGAGCGTGAATGATGCGACCTACAAGCCCATGCAGACTCCCAGGACGGGAATCTTGCCCGCAAAGTGCCGGATTGCATCTCGGCTGACTCCGGAATCGGTCTGGGGGTGGCCCGGGCCGGGGCTGATGATGAGCTGGGTCGGGTTGTGCTTGATCAGCTCCTCCACCGTGATCTTGTCGTTTCTGAAGACGTGGACGGTGGCGCCCTCGAGCACGAGATACTGGTAAATGTTCCAGGTGAAGGAGTCGTAGTTGTCAATGAGGACGAGGTTGGAGGCCGTTGCCACTGGAGGAGACGGATCCGGCTGGTGAGGCGAGTGGTCGATGATATCGGAGGACGGCATCTTGACGGGGAACGAGGGCCCAATTGCGGTGATGAAGGTGAGAAAGAAGGACGAGGTGAGATGGGAGACACGGACTGCGGTCAGCAGAGATAAAAGAGTGTCTGCGTCCGTAAAGGCCCGGTGTTACATGAACGGGACAGAGTCGGTGCTCTGGTGGTGAGAGTCTGGTCGTCTGTCTTATTGAGTTTTGTATGAGTCAGCTCCACCAACAGCCAACAAATCTCTGACTTTGGCGCTACGTTTTGGGGGGGCGATACGTCTGTAGCCCGCTATTCAAAAGAGCTGTTGTGTCTGTTTGACGTGCCGATAAAGCCCCGGTCTGGACGCCAAAGTCAGGTAAGTGATATCCATACTGTACGGAGTCCTCTCTCTGTGTGCTTACTGTTGCCTCCGGAGGTGCATCGAATCAGCTTCACTCGTACAGTAGGTAAGGTAGGTAGGTGAGCATACAAGCCGCTGAGTCCTGCGCACTGTACGACGCTCGGGCGCCGGCTAAACCGCGGGTTCCTGGGAGCTTCACCAAAAAAGTCGACCTGCAGCAGCTGCTTGTTGTTGATGCTGGACCATCTCGAAATCCAGCACCCCAAAATTGTGCCAAAAGCGCGTCGACCGTGGCTCTGCACCGCTCTCGCACCAACAGCCTCCAGGTGATGCGGCGAGCGTCTCGGCCGCCTTACTGAGACTCGTGGCAATGGCGCCGGTGTCTGATAGCAACTATTTTCCCTCCCTGGGGCAGTGCCTCTCCGGGGACAAGGTGCTTCTGTGAGTTGCGGCGCTGCTGTGCTATTTGGTTGGCGAGGCATACTGACCGCAGCATCAAGGTCGTGGAAGCTTGTCGCCACAGCTCTCTCGGACAGCACGGGGGAACGACAGAAGAGCTCTGCGATTGTTCGATTCTTCGACGACGACTATGTCCGCGGCCTGCTGAGCGAACCTGCGACCGCGTTTGCGCCGCCGGACGAGGCCACGAGCAAGAGCTTCGAGACCAAGACGGCCCCAATCAACGTCACCTCCGCGTCGACAGATCGATACGACATTAACCAGTTCAAAGAGGACGCAAAGTGGCTCAGCAACAACGCCAAGGTCAACCTGGTCGCTGCTCTGCGGGTCGTCCTCGTCGAGTACCAGTCCCGCTCTTCGAGGCATCTTCTCGGCCCTCTATCGTCCCACGATGCCGCCAACCTGCAGGAAGCCGCGGGCCTGCAAAATGGCCAGGGATTGGCGTTCCTGTCAGACTTGGGAGCTGCAGCAGCGTTGGATGCCGACGAGATCTCCGCCGAATTCGACAAGGCCGACTCGAGAAGGCGTCGTTTGTTCGATACCTTCTTGACCGAGCGTCGCTTCTTCATAATGGTCGCGGACTATGCCACGTCCATCAAGCTGTATCGGCGTCTCCCCATCTTTGCTCCTGGAGACGACAGCATCGCCGATTTGTACAAGTTGAAGATGTCTGCTCAGCCACGCGACGAGATGGAGGCGATGCTGCCGGCCTATCTGGACGTCGTCACCAGCTGCATGAGCGGGATCGAGGCCGGCATGAAGGCATTTACGGACGAAGCAGTGCTGCTCAACGACGAAGTAGAGTTGGAATGGCTACGCAGCTTACTGACCGAGATCGTACACAGCTTGTCTGTGGTTCTCCAGCTGGTAGACTGTTATGGTAGCGATTTCCCTCCGTCCTCAGTGATCAACCAGTGGTTTTCACTAATGGAGATATACGGCTTTTTCGATTCCATACAGCCCGTATGTGCTCCGCCAGCCTCCCTCTTCTGGTCTTGGCTAACGCAATGTAGATCAACCAAATCACTGCCGAGCTGGTCATGCCAATGAAGGTCCTGTCCTCAGCCATCTCCATTGGCCTGCTCAAGCCTGCACGAGCACTCTCATACCTGTCCGATCGAGACGAAGATCCAGCACAGGCTGACGATGTCTACGATTCGTATCTGCTCTCGCCTGATGTCTTGGAACAGGTTCACAAAAGCATCTTGGACGCGGCCGGCTCAGACTCGGAGACTGCCTGCCCCGTCATCTTCACATGGTCCTTTCTGCTCCACCGACTCAACGTGTCCTACCAGACCAGGACCGATAAGCGTGACAACCTGATACAGCAAAGCGCCCGAGAAAAGTTCGAGACGCGAAGCGTGATGCGCACACCTACTGGACGGCGAAATTCAGCTGGAAGTATCTACTCCATCGAGTCTTCCAAGTTTGATGGCTTTCTCGAGAACGCATCGAGTCCGAGGGACATGCAGGTTGTCGAGCAACTTGCGGCAGTCGCCACTGCTCAGGGCAGGGTCTTTGACATTATGTCAAAGATGGCTGAGACCTTGGGCCCGTCTGTGGACGGCAGCTTGTCGCCCCTGATCAGCTCGCGCCTTCGCGTCGTTTTCCTGGAGCTCCTCAAGGTATCATATCCATTCGTCGGTTACCAGTCAGATTCCGTGAGCTGTTTGCACGCCCTTCTATCTCCTGGCCGAGACTACTGGGACCTATCCGCGTCAGAAAACATGCCCGTAGCCCAGGACATTCTCAGCTCTATGCTACGAGACGACCTGGCCATGGATTTCTTTTTCCAGCAAGCCCAGGATCGATACCCATACGAGTTCCTTCCTTTCATCACGCTCTGCCGTATACTTTGTACTGCATCGCAAGAGAGCCCGGATGAAAGGACGGATATGATTCTCGACCTGCTCCTCAAGACTCCGACCATCACCTTTACACTCCCGAACCTGTTCCAAGGATACGAGCTGGTTCAAGAAGATGAAAACACAAACTCCTTCTGCCTCGTGGAGGAAGTCCCTCTGATTTCTCTTTCATCCTCGTGGAGCCGGCGTTACATCGAGGATGACGCTTACAGAATACCTGTGGGCACCTACGGGCGATTTATTACAGACACTGGGCGCGTTGTCCTGATGGACTATCCCCACTCGACTTTGGCTCTTCTCGGTCGGCGACTTGAGGTCAGCCTCTCTCAAGAAGGCTATCGTTGCGAGCTGGGAATGTTGCAACCGGAAGAGACGGCCGAAGTGATTCTGTTATTAGCGTCGCTCCTGCGAATGGAGCAGCTCAAGGTGACAAGGCAGGGCAGCAGCGGTGCATTGGTCCGTTACGATGACGACCTCCTGTCCGAGGCGAGCGCACACATCAGCCCCGGCAAAGATATCGTCACTATTGTGTGCGAAACCATGGACTACTATATGCAAGATGAGTTGGCCATGGCTGAGGATAGTGCCGTGAGCGTGCTCATAGCATGTGTCAAGTTCTTGCATGCTGTTCTCCAAGTCCAGCCCAGCCGGGTCTGGTCGTACCTCGCCAGGACAGAGCTTCTCAACTCAGAGTCAAAGGCTGGTAAACTCACCAAGATAACCGGCAGTCTCGAGCTGGTCTCGGAGCGATTCGAGTTCCTCAAGTCTTCACTCTCGCTGTTCTCCGCACTCATTGACACTGTCATGTCCTCTGCTGTCCAGCGTCGGGCCGGAAGCAAACCTGCGAGTCGACAGCAGCCGGAGACGAATCCTTGGCTTGGCACTGCAGACAAGGTGCTCTCCCAGGTCAGCCTTTCGATTGCACAGACCTCTGTGGATGTGTTTGAGAACACGTCAACATGGATGTTTGACTCGGAAAGCAGTAGAATAGCGCTGCTGCAGAGAGTCGTCCCCATTCTTGACAAGATTGTGCTCTACACCTACAGCATGGGCGATTCCCCCAGTTCTGACAACCTCACATCCTGTCTTCGACCCGCTGCTTCTCACATCATTGACTGCTTTCTGTCGCCATCGAGCGGAAGCCTGCGGTTTCAACCTATCCTCCTCTCCTTTATCTCTGCCCTCACAAAATCAGACTCTACCTTGTATCCCAATCGGACGGAAGCTGTTCGAAGCCAGATAACGTCAGTGTTCGACTTTTCCACAACTCTTCTTCGGGTCGCGAAATACCTGGAGCGACCCTCGACTTTGGTCGAGACATACCTCTTCAAGACCTCCACGTTATCAGCGCGGCTCTGCGCTGTGTCGGATCACTTCCACGAACCAGCGTTGTCGCTGCTGGAGGCACTGGTCGTCAATGCCGGCCAGTCCACCAGCGAACCCCCCTCCCTTTTGGGATACCTCGGCCCTCATATTTCGAAATCCTTCCTCCACATTCTGGCTGCCATTGGCCAGCCCTTTGCCTTGCCGAGTGAAGTGAAGACCACCTGGAGGTTCTTCACGTCTATTCTAAAGAACCGACAACAATGGATGTCCAATTGCCTTCTCACAGGTCAAACGCCGCGGGAGGCTATGAAGGAGGATGCCAAGAAGAGTGAAATGTCCGCAGATTCTGTCTTCGCAACGGCCTTGTCTAAGCTCAAGAACTTGAAAAGCTTGGAGACGGGAGAGGCCCTTGTCATTTTGGACTTTGTCACATCGGCACAGAACTACTGGCCTTGGACGGTGTTCACTCTTCAGAAAGACACGTCCTACATGGACGGGTTGCGAGCCTATGTTCGTGACCTGAAGCCCTCTCATCAAACTGTCAAATCGGATGCAGTACTTGCTGCCGCCCAGGCAAGAATTGCTGCGTACATTGCAGAGATATTTGCCATGCAGCTCTACCATTCGCGGCACCTCGGCAAGGCGGACACGCTTGCCAAGGGACTGAGTAACGATCTGGACTACTACCTGCGTGACGGTGTTGAGGTGTCAAGCTACAACAAGTCTCTCCACAACAACTTCGCAAGGAACTTCTCCAATAAATTCTTCGGCTGCTCTTTGGACAACTTCAAGCGCACCGTGGTGGGCCCAAGGGAGCTGGGCGAGAACTATTACTACGACCTGGACCGCGCCAATGAAATATTACGATTCGACCCTGGATGGCAAGGGAAGAAGGGGGCTGGGTTCCTGAACGAGATGAAGCTCGCAAACGCCAACCTGTCCCTGGTCGACGCCCAAATCGTGAGTGCCTTATTCTCTATGTTTTAAGACGGCCGACATGTTGCTGACCCCTTTCTAGGCTCTCTTCCACGCATGGGAGCTTTTGCTGCTTGAATTGGGCGAATGCTTCCCCGAGAGTGACGCAACCAAAAAGCACATGATGCAAGTTGCCCAGCAGTGCCTGAATGCCAACCAGGTGGTCCCTGGACCGGAGAACATCTTCCTCAAAATAGTCGACGCAAGAGCCGACCTGGCCCTCATTCTGATTCAGCGATTAGTCAAGTCCACGCTTGCTGTCAAGGATGTCAACCAGCTACTGGAGACTTTGATGGGCACCATCAACAGTGTTGAAGAGCCCTTTGAACCCGAGTCCATTTCTTACTACCGCACGCTTCTCAAGGCCCTGTTTGTCACCCTGCGGGCTTATCAGACGGCGGCCAGCAAGACAACGGCGAGCTCTCAGGCGGATCTCGAGGGGTCTCTCGTCACGGTTACTCAGACTATTCTGAACGTGCTCGACACGGTGGTTGCCAGAGGCTTTCGATCGTTGGTCAGCTTGATTCATGACAAGGCGACAGATGTCTTCCCCGAGGATCTTGCTCTCCTCACAGCCATCATGCAAGCTTGCCTCAGCGTCCCCAACATTGAACAGTCTCAGACACAAATTCTCAACATCATGGCGTCGCATGACGCTACGCACGCAGCGACATCGTTGTACTCGTGGGCTGATAAGCTCGGGGACCATGGCGATCCCGTGTATGGCGAACTCAGCATCTTGTTCTTGCTGGAGCTCTCCACCCTGCCCTTGTTGTCGGAGCAGCTTGCGTGTGACGGGGTGCTCGGCGCAATTCTGTCAGCCAATCTCACCAAGTTTATGCTCAGGACCAACGTCTCGCCATATGCCGATGCGCCCATTGCACAACGGTGCTATGGGATCTGGGTGAAGGGCATGCTTCCCCTCATGCTGAATCTGCTTACCTCCCTCGGGGCTACAGTTGCTCCGGAGATTACCTATGTTCTGAACCAATTCCCTCACCTGCTGCAAGCGAGCGTGGAGCGGTTTGAAGCACCCGGAGCCAGCCGAACCAAGGAAAAGTCTGTGCAATACCTGACTCTCCTTGGCACCTCGGAGATTCACTCTTTGGCACTTCTGACGCGCGTGCTTGCGGCTCTTCGAGCGAACAATAGCAGAGATATTCCCCCGGTCGAGTGGGACGAGACGGGTCTTCTGGAGAACGTAGACTACTGGCTCTCCAGCAGACGTCTGTTGAAGGAGCGGCTTCTACCTCTGGGACTGCGCGAGATGGAATGGAGGGGAAGAAAACTGACGGGGGATTGTGACAACTTGCTGGAGGAGAAGGTGGTGGTGCAGCTGGAGACGGTTCGCGACGTGCTCAGCGAGGAATTCGAGGGCTGAATATGAATATATGTCGGATTTTGCTGTTCAAGCTACGTTCGTATGCGATTAGAGAAAGCTGGGGACGGTAATGGATTTCAGGACAAGGCGTTGGACGTTGGACTACTACTGCATCAGATGTAACATATGTCTTTTGTTACGGCTTTCGAGTCGAGCATCTCAATTAATTCTCATTGAGCGAGATTTTCATACTTTGATTGATTGGCTTTCCAACGATGGGACGCCCTGCCCTCGCTTTCAACTACCCGTTGATCCCAAGACAATCATACAGATGACTCCGTCTTCAACGAGTCGAACTTGTGTGCCAGAGTGACAGCGTCTCGGCTGGTTCTCGTTTCTTTTCTTTTCGTTACCCTTTCCCCACCATAACGCTGTGTATCATACAAAGTCCCGATCCCGAGAGCAATCTCTCGTCTCCCAACAGGCTCTCCTATGCCAAAATACCATCCCAGCTATTGTTTCCAGCCATCGATGTCAAGGGGCCCCGTTCATGCTCTCCTTGGTTCATCTTTCCGTCGTCGTTTTTGCCTCTTCTTTTGGTCTCGTATTTCCAGATTTTATGTTTCTGAGCATATGGTTTGATTGATTGATTTACTTCTGCATCTGCTGCGTAATCTGGGCATTGTGCTCCTGGAAGCGCTCGCTGACGCGCTGCTGCGTGGCCATCCACTTGAGGACGCAGCGGTTGAGGCAGCCGGTCTCCTTGGTGGAGAGGGATTTGGAGGTGAAGTCGTCGATGCAGGAGGTGAAGCAGTGCTCGACGAGGCCGCCGAAAGCCTATATATGAATCCCCCCATGGGAAATCGTCAATAATTGATAACGGCCTTTATATATATATATACGTTGTGTCGAGATGAAGGGAACGTACGCCGACGAATTCCTTGACTTGGCGCTTTTGCATGCGCTGCTCGAGGGTGCGCTGCTCGGCGGATGTTAACCTGATCGCAGAGAGAAAACGGGCAATTAGTTGCTTGAACTATTCGTGTATGATACGGGTGGACAGGAGAATTTTCGTACATGTCCATTGTGGCGGTTAGTTGTGGTGTTTGTGACGGGGGTTGTGTAAAAGGCAGATAGCGAGTCTGTGGTTTTGTCTGTTTGGGGCAACTTGTAACAACTCGGAAGCTTTTCTTTGGAGATGATGACGATGGAAATTTTGGAAGGATGTACTTAATTCCGCTTTGCGACTTTGGACGACCCCACATTTTCACTGTGTTGTGTGTGTAATGGACGGGCAGGTTTTTTGGGTGCGTGTGTGAAGGATGTTTTATTCGCACGGTGATTTTGTGGTTAGGTTGGCGCGATGGTACAGTGTGAAATGGGACGTGTTGCTGTTGGCGTGTTAACTTTTGGCTTCTCATTTGGGCTTTTGTTCGTTTGAGACATGTGAATGATGGGGAGATGGATATTGGCAGATTTTTGCTGGAAGAGGACTGTTCCGGCATTGCCATCCATGTCTAGCTGATAACCCTATCTATGCTGTTTCAAAGTCCAACGTCTCTCTTCTGGCCTTCGTCTTGTTGGTGAGAGATGGAAAACGTGCCGCCACAACGTTGAGAGACGCACCCAAATCGCGGTATTCGAACATTCACTGAGATGCAAATTTTGACTGAAAATTCCATGGAATAGATATGCGTCTGGTTCTTTTTCGCCGTAGCCCAGATTGCATTGACCAAACGCTCATCTATCACATAACAAAGCACCCAACCAAACCGTTCCCTATGCTTACCTACCTAAGCATGGAAGAAGGCTGTTCGCTGCTGTGCCCTTCAACACCTTAGGTAGGTACCTAGTAGAACGATGAAGCGGACTTTGTGCCGATATCGCGCCTCATACATCATTCAAGAGCTTGGCCATCATACTGGGCTACGGTACGAGGTAGAAAAGGAAAAGAAGCCGAAGAAGAAAGTAAGAGCTCGTAACTGCAAATCGCCTGAATTACCCAGAGTGAGGTCATCGTGAAGTCCTCAAAAGAACCCGGGCGCAAGCGTGGCTATGCTCGTATCTCGTACTTTGCGATCCCCTTCCAACCCCCCCCCCCCCCCTGATCTTGGGTCAGGGCGCAACTCGAGGCATAACCGCAAGCCCGGCTTACCACTTGTTTCTGCTTAGGTCTAGATAAGGTAGGTTCCGGGAGAAAGAAGACGAACAAAAGCTTCAAGAACGCGATAACCCCAGTTCTGCTAGTACTAGCAGCCTGGAGTAGGCATCCCCATAAGTCCTACTAGCAACAGCCTGGAGTAGCATCCCCCGTAACCTTGATCACAAACTTAGTCCCTTTCTTCGTACCTTGTGCCATCTTTTCGTGCTGATGGTCAGCCTGGCGTCCCCCTCCTCCTCCCCCTTCCCCTTGTTTTTGAGCCTTGTCCAAGCCACAACGGCCCTGGTTTCTCCTCGATTGCGAACTTACTTGCTTCCTTTGGCTTCGATGATGCGTTCTGTTGGCGCCCCGGCAAAGTAAACAAACAATACGAGAGCAAAGCTCCGTCGACGAGCTACAGGACCTGCTAGATGAACAAGACCATGCCGTTGACGGTGCTAACTCGGCCGGTCTTGATTGCCGCGTATATGCGGGCGGAAAGTTAATTGGGACAAGAGATGTCTGTAGGGCAGCCTCTCAGGATGGATGGGAGCAAGGCAATGCTAAAAAAAGAGACGGTGACAGAGTCTTGATTCATTCGAACCCTTGCCGTATCGCAAGCATGGCTGGCTGCTGTTCGCTCAGCATACGAAGTGAGATGCAACTGGGTACCACTACAAATCATCGTGTACATGCCCAGTCTGGCAGTTGTACAAGTACGAGATCCATGGTCTTGCAGTCCTACATGTCATCTCGCTCGCTTGACCTTGACTGCAAAGGCTGATAATGTACGAGTAATTGCTGCCGACTAGCCCTCCTCCAAACCCGTTTCTTCAGCACAGCACGCCGTCACGAGGGGGGCCCTTTTTCAGCTGAGAGGAAAAAAGAGAAAAAGGATCCGCCACTCCAGTCAGGCGTCCTTCCGTCTCTCGCTCGCCTCCTCCCCCTCCTCTCTGCGAATAGCTGCAGAGCTTGTCGCTGGATTTGACGCAAGACCTTCCCTCCCGGCAGGGATCGTGACCTTGGTCGTGCAGCTCCTGGCGCGGTGGTTCTGGCTCTGGGCCCCAAGCCGTCTAGAAGATCCAGGCGCCGATCATCCAGAAGTTCGAACATGGTGGCCGCCTTGCTCCAACGTCATTCGCCGTGCCTCTTGGCTTCCCCTCCTCTGAGGCCGTGCACCGCCTCGTTTTCTTTCCCCTGGTTGTTTTGGCATGTAAGTATGTGGCATGTACTGTATATGAATACGGCTGTTGGAGTATTGGAACAAAATGCAGTTGTCATTGTGCAGGAGTAGGCAGTAGAGGGAGAAAAGGCCGAGATCAACCACTCTGGATTGTCTCCAGCCTTGCGCTGTACAAACATGAAGTGCTCGTCCCTCGTCGCAGCTCATCCGTCCAGCAGCTGTCCCGTGCGAGGACAGCAAAACTGAAGTATCGAATGTGTACCTAGCCGTGCCGGTACCTGTACCAGCACCTGCACCTGCACCTGCACCACGACCCCTGTGTGTTTTACCCAGCCTGCCGTCCCTGCCAGTGGCCGCCTGCACGCTGAACCCACTGCCATCCACTGAAGCCCACTGGAACCACGCTGGGAATCCTCGCTCCAGCTTCTGACGCCCGCGCCACACCAGCAGCCTGCAGCCCCGGGAGGGTACCGGTACCGCGAGGGAGCCCCTCTTCAGCCATCTCCACGAACCAGTGGCCCTGGAGCGGCACGTAACACGACGGACTGGTACCTTCAAGTCGGTGCCGCGCTGTAGGTAGCTGTACTTGTACCTGGCCTTGCCTGTGCCTGTGCCCGCCCGCCAAAGTCTCAGACAGCCCAGCGGCAGGTGCGACCAAACACCACCTGCACCTGAACTGCGCTGCACTTGCACTGCACACGCCGGCCTTTGACCAAACGCCGTGGCACCTCCTTCCTCCCCGTATCTTGACCCTCACCTCTGCATCTCTCGCGATCGGCTCTCTCTTGTCTCCCGCCCTCTCTTCTCCTCTCTCTTTTGCCTGCGCCAGCCCTTTTCTCTCTTTTTTTCTGACTGAATCGCCTCCCTCATGTCTCTATCCTCTCGAGCCACCTGGCCGCTAGTTCACCCTTCGATCGCCCGCTCTGCAGCCCGCCCGCTCCCTGCACCTGCACCTGCTCCTTGTCCTGCTCGGCGAGGCGTCTAACTGCGAGGCCCAGAGACGAGACGAGACGAGACGAGACTAGGAAAATTGCATCTGGGAGACAAGCTGCTGGACGACGCCATTCCCCGGCCTCGATCTCGCCCTCACCCTCTCCCGCCTCCGATTGCGCGAAACCTAGAAAGATCGTCGACACTGCGCTGCCAGCTCTTTTGGCGGCCTCTGCATTCGCTTTTGCCGCCCCTCGCTTGCTGTCCTTCGGGAGCCGAATCGCCCATCTGCGCAATCCGCCTTTGTCTGGACAGCTTGGAGCCCCGTCGAGAACGCACCGCCCGCTGAAGCTCTGATTCTGGCCGCCCTGCGCCCGCGTCGTCGTCCGTCGCCTGTGCGTCTGCCATGGCGTCCAGCAATCCGAATGCGCATCAGGGCAGCCCGCCTTCGCAGCCGCCAGTGCCAATCACGCCAGCGTCGCCGCCGAACCGACGCGATCTCAGAACGTGGTGGAAGAGCTTCAAGCTGCCCACCAAGCACCAGGACTCGTCAGCCCAGGGTACGCTCTCAACCTTAGCTTCAGCCTCAACCCTCACCACCTCCCCTCCCACCGGTCCTTGTCCTTTCATCCGCAGACGCCTTGCCTCGCTCAGGACCCTTTGGTCGCTATTCAAATCACCATTTGGTATCGATTTCAATTTGCTCGGTTCCTTTGTGCGCCGCATATGCCTGCTGATGCTGGGGACATGGGTCGCAAACCGTACACTCGCTGGGGAGCCTCAGCTACGGAGTCGTATCAAGCGATGCAAACCATCCGCCCCCTCTTCCTTTGTTTGCTCCCTTTACCGTCCACTCCGCATTTTCCCCTAGCTGCCCGTTCAAACAGGAGAAGAAGAATGATGCGGAAGAGGAAGAGGAGGAGTGCGGACAAAGATTCTGTTCCTTTGCTCCCCGTCTTAACATTGTCAACTAACCCAATGGCGTTTTAGAGAACCGTGGCCCAGGCATATTTGGCGTTCCTCTCCGACAAAGTATAACATATGCGAATGTTGCCATCTCTCTTGTAGACGAGAACGGGAAAAGCTACATCTACGGCTATGTGCCCATCGTTGTGGCCAAATGCGGTGTCTTCTTGAAGGAAAAGGGTAGGGCAGATGGAAGCGCAGTATCAGCGCCATGAAGTTGGGAATCGCCACTGACAATCATACCAGCTACCAGCGTCGAAGGCATCTTCCGTCTTAACGGCTCCGAGAAACGCATAAAGGAACTTAAGACGATATTCGATTCGCCTGATCGGTATGGCAAGGGGCTCAGCTGGGAGGGATATACTGTCCACGATGCTGCGACGGTGCTTCGAAGATATCTCAACGACCTGCCCGAGCCTGTTGTGCCGCTCGACCTGTACGAAAAGTTCCGCGACCCCCTCCGAGGGGCTACAAAGCAGGCCGTTGGTGATACAGACGGCCCCCAGTTCGTTGAGAACTTTGATGAGGCGGCTGCCATTGCCAAATATCAACAGGTAATCACAGAGTTGCCCCCACTAAACAAGCAGTTGCTTCTTTACATTCTGGACCTGCTGGCCGTCTTCGCCGCCAAGTCGGACGAGAATCGCATGACCTCCCAGAACTTGGCGGCCATCTTCCAGCCCGGCATGCTGTCCCACCCTGCGCACGCTATGGCACCTGAAGAGTACCGGCTCAACCAATGCGTAATCATCTTCCTCATAGAGAACCAGGACCACTTCCTAATCGGAATGCAAGGAACAGAGGCAGATGAGACAACCATGCAGCAGGTGGCCGCCGGACCCTCCAACGTGCCGCGGACGCCTAACGCGGAGCACAGTTCGGGCTTGGGGAGAACAGCTTCTAATGCCAGTGCTGGCGCTGAGAGCGTTCGGAGGGAGGGCATGATTCGACGAAACCGATCCGTCTCCTCGAGACATTCCAGGGTCGAGGGTGCTGCCACCCCCAATAGCCCGGCCCTGGCGGCAACGCCCACTGGTGGTGGGCTAGCTAGAAGCAACACCGTGCCGTCCAAGAAGTCTCCGGCTCTGGTCGGGGGGAAATTCAAGAAAGCCGAGAACCCTGGCCGCGCGCCGCACTCGCCGGCTCTAGAACCCTTGACTCCGGCTCACCCCCTGCCAGAGACCAAGTTGGAGACGCCCCAGAGGAGCTCGACGCCAAACGCATCGCATACGACTTTCGAATCAATGCACCTCTCCCCGGATCGGTTGCTGTCACCTGGCAGGAGCCAGGAGAGACTCCTTGACGTCCCACACGAACACTCGACGCCCTCAAAGCACCACCACCACCATCATCATCAGACCCTACCCAAGCTGGAACAAATCTTTCAACGGTCGCCCAACCATGACAGCAGCGAAAAAAGGCAGCCAAACAAGCTCAAGAAGAAGCGGATACCGGGCAGCATGAACATTAGCGCGCAAAGCTCCGTTACGTCGCTTGGGCATTCTGCCTCACCTGGTACAGAGGCCGGGAACCCTCTGGAACCAGCTCCTGTTTTTGCACAGCCCATCGCACAGCCTCAGTTCCGTTCAACTACCATGCCTCAATCAGCACCTTATGCAGCGCCCCAGCCAGCGCCTCAACCAGCGCCTTTTGCTTCGGCACCATCTGTCGAGACTCAGAAGCAGCCGGATCTGCATCACCAGTACTCGACCCCTGCGATTCATCCGAACCACGGCGAGTTCCACAACCACTCCATTTCTCACTATCACGAGCACAACCTGCGAGCTGAGGATGTCCCGCGGGGAAAGAGGTCTCCCCCCGCTTCGGTCGGTTCATCTTTCAATGACGGATCGGACTTTGAACAGGTTGCTCAAGAGGCTCCCTTGCCATCAATCGTCGAGGCCGCCGATAAGGAAAAGAAGAGCCGGTGGCGGCTGTCGAGACCGAAGAAGGAGGACTTTGCGAACGGACCGGCCAGCCCCAGGGCGTCACCGCCGCAGTCAAACATTGGTTCGAACCACCATGCAGATATTAGTACCACCTCGATTGGAAGCGCCATTGCTAAACCCCGGAAGAGTTTTACCGGCGAGAGCTCAGAGCATCTGGGAAGCGGCAGTGAACGCCCATACACGCAGGACAGCTCCAAGGATGATAAGGACGACGGCAAAGGCCCTATCGGCTGGATAAAGCACAAATACCGAGAGGCCAAAGAAACTGCCGAACAGAAGCGTACCAAATCTCCACCACCTTCCGACCAACACCTGCCATTGAACCCGGGTGTACTGGCATCGCGAGGCAAGAGCCTGGATCTCAACCGGGAGGAGGAGAGCTTCTACCACGCAAAGCCAGCCCAGGGGGACCTGAAAGGCAAGGGAGTTGTCCGGCCAGAGTCGTACAAGGCATTCACCCCGAATGATGCAGCTCAGAGAGAAGCTGCCCAAGGCATGACGATTCACAGAATCATCAGTGATACGGAGAAGGCTCCGGCAGAACCTCTCGCTCAGAACGCTGGCCCGACAAACAATGCCAGCAAAGACATGTCTCGAGACGTGCCTCCATCTGCAGCGGCACCCGCCGTGGAACCGCCGCTGCCCTCTGATTTACAGACCAAGGAGCAGGAGGAGAAATAAGCTTGAGGGCTTTTGATCGGGATGCCTTTAGGCAGACAAGATGCGTTTACGATTACGTGGAGTTGACGGGATTGCCTTTGTTTCTCATTTTGGCTCCTTCTCTTCTTTCTCCCCGGCTTTTTTTTTTAACTTATTCTTCTTCCGTTGTTCTCTAGAAGTAACGAATCTCCTTTGTCATGATGTACTCAAATGTTGTTTCATACCGTTTCACCATATTCCCTCCCACCTTGTTGGTATCTACTCGATGGAGAGACGAAAGATTGCGGAAATGGATGAAGAGGGGATTCTCATTTTCTGTTTTGGAGGTCAAATCGGAAAAAAAACATTGTTGTATGTATCCATGTATGTATGCGAAAGAAGTCATGTAGAAACGCGAAAGGCATAAGGTCGTTGTTGAGACATGAGAGACCGCGGCGGTGATTCTTTTTTTCGTGCTGTGTTGGTGTGCGCGTGTCAGAGGTAAAATAGAAAAAGTAGGTATGGTTGATTGATTACCTACTGACAGTTTCCGAGGTATCGATAAATCAAATAAAGCTGAAAAGGATATCAGATATATCTTTACTATTTGGGATAGTGTGGTAGGCTTCAGAATGATGCTACATATGTTTGGTCTAAGGTATCTATTTGCATTATATGCATGGAATCAACTGCACGCTACATTCTCTTCCACTCTCTCTTATCTTCCCTTTCTTCCTTTTTTTCAGGAACTCTTGACAAAGATCTGCAGATTGAGTTCGAAAACAAACAAATTGATATGACGCCCCTCTTCAACCAGACTCCTCCGCATACACCCCCGTGTCCCAAACCATCATATACCCAGCCCTCCTCCAATCCTCGTTGAAGAAGCCGTTGAAGCCCGCCCACACGCGCCTCAGCTCCTTGACGCCCAGTCCCTGCCCCTCGGGCGTCGTCTCCAGGAACTCGCGCAGCCAGGGCTCGACGCCCTCGAAGCCGACAATGTACCGCGGGACGGGCACGGCGGCGGGGGATCCCGGCGCGAAGAGCTCGCCCCGCAGAAAGGGCACGGGCGCGTCGTAGAAGCGATCCGCCTCGTCGCGGTAGAGGTCGCGCTCGGGGGTGCCTGGCTGGGTGTGCAGCGGGGGCTCGCAGGTGAGGGCGTAGGCGGAGAGGCCTGGGTAGACGAGGTGGGAGCGCCAGGGGGTGGAGTGGCAGGGCATGAGGAAGAGGGCGAAGAGGGCGTCGCGGTCTTCTGCGGTTGTCGTGGTGGCGTTGAGGGGGGAGGGGGAGGAGCGGTAGTGGGTTTCGTGGGCGAGGCGGACGGCGGAGGGGTGGATGCGCTCGTACTGCTTGCGGAGGAACAGGGGGGCGGGTTGGTGGAGGAAGGAGAGGTAGCCGGCGAGGAGGACGTTGATGCCTAGGGCCGTGAGGAGGAGGGGCTTGTTGCGGAGGCGAGCGCGGCGGACGGTGGGGGATTTGGTTCCTGAGGAGGAGGAGGGGGGAGGTTGAGGCGGCGCGGAGATCTGGGCTGCGGAGGAGATGGACGGCGGGGGGCTCGTCTTGGGGACGGTGGTGAAGAAGGAGGCGGCGCGGGGGGCGGCGAGGACGCTCAGCACGGGGAGAAGAGGGTAGATGAAGCGGACCTCCTTGTGGGAGATGAGAGAGAGGGCGACGACGGTGGCGAGGACGGTGCAAGAGAGCGTTCGGAGGATGTTGGCCTGGGAAGGCGTCTTGGACGTAGGATTGAAGAGCGCGGGGATGACAAAGGGAAGGCTGGTGGTGCACAGCAGAGGGATGCCCTGGAGGATGTAGTAGTGCCAGGGGTTGCGGCCGTAAAAGACGGCCAGGGACTTGGAGATGTTGAAGTTGAGCCAGTTGTACGGCGGAAACGTCCAGAAGCCAAAGTAGAGCCGATCGGCGAGGATGGAGAGGCCCACCACCAGGGAGCCGCACAGAATAGCCTCTCTGAAGAGCACGAGGACGGTGGAAAGGCTCAGTGGGGAGTTGCCTTGCAGCGAGATTCTAGTCAGGGCAAGGAAGACGATGGTGAGCCAGATGAGGACGTTGGTAGGGCGCAGGACGACGGCCAGGGCGGCGAGGCAGAGGGACGCGCGCAGGCGCCAGAGCTTGCCGCGCAGGACGTTGAAGGGCGCGGCGTTTTCCTTGATGGAATAGGGGGCGACGCCGAGGAGCTGCCAGGGCCAGTAGCTGAGGGCCATGACGGTGAGAGTCGTCTCGAGGGAGTTGGAGAAGGTCCTGGTGGAGCAGTACCATTGCCAGGGATTGAGTAGTTGCATGAAGAGCTGTGATGGGAATGATGAGTGAGTGAGTGGGTGAGTGAGTGAGCGACTCAAAAAGGGGGCATGAAATGGCAGCAGCACTTACAGCGAAAAAGGAGGCGTTTCTATCGGACTCGTAGACTTGGACCGCAAGATGCCATGTGTACCAGTCTCCCAGGGCAGCAATCAGGGCCTGCAGGACGCGGGGAGCAGCAATGACAATGGCAGAGCGGACGGCGGATCCTGGCGGGAGGACGGCGGACAGACGGTCTGCGATGGTGTAGGCGGCAGAGAAGAGGAGGGGATGGAGGGAGGACCTGAGCTGGTGATGCCATTCCTGGATGATGATGAATGTTAGTGGTGTTTCTGTGCCCATCTTGATCACGTCGATTCAGCCAAGTGTAGCTTCCATTGATTGATGCTGTAAGAAGCAGGTATACGTTGTTCTTATATCAAACTCACCCACGTCAGCCACGCGCCGCTGTCCGCCCCAAAGGCGAGGCGCCACGCTGGCTCCAACGCCTGGAAGAACTCGTCGGGCTGGAAGAAGGTGGCCAGGCACAAGGCATTGACGAGGCGGATGATGAAGATGTCGCGCAGCGGCACGGGCGAGAGACGCGGCTTGCCCTTGAGCGAGGCCGAGGGGGCGCGTCTGTGGCCGGCCATGGTGTGGTGATGGCTTCACTGAGGTGCAGGTGTGTGCATGTGTTCAATTGGCTGGGCTGCATGTGGCCGGATCATTGAATGTGCCCATTGATTGATTCCGGGTCGTGTTAGTGGTTGGTTTAGTGCTCGGGGCGGACGCTTGGGGGGGGGGGTTGTTGGGGGGGCTGGAGGGCCTGGCGGGACGGATTTACAGGCAGGGAGCGGCGCAGCATGGATGGCGGCAGTAGGTGAGGTGTTCTGGCGTGAGTGTCGGGGAGATGTGCTGCGTAATGGATTGAATGGATTCTTTGGAGAGAAGAGGTCGGATGTCGATGATTCTGTCTCCTCTTTCATCGTGAACAGCATGTAATATGAGTTGTGGGATGGTTCTTGGCGATGCTATGATGCACCCTGACACAAGGACGACTTAAGGTAGCATCGCCAAGCCCGTTTCAACTCGCCGACTGCACACGTCTCTTATCTCTCCACATGCAGCGGTATGACCTCAGATCGTCAACATCAGCATCAGCATTCACATCGTCGGCTTCTTCATCCTTCAAACCAACACCACCAGCCTCGATCCTCTCCCCAGCCTCGCATTACATCATCCGCCAACACTTCCATCGCGGCATCCATCGTCAACAATACACGCAAACCCGATACGTAATGCCGGCGTCGCCATTGGCTCGCCCCATTGCAGGGCTCTCCGACTCACGACACGCTCCCCCCACCTTTGCATCGCAGCACCAGATCCGATGTTGCAGCAACTTGGGCCCGTGGCCGAACGGTGGGGTTGCGTGCAATAACGCTGCGATATATTCATCGAGCGATGCGAGAATTCAGCACAGACGGGGTAGTCAGTTGATGGATGTCGACATGAACACCAGCACCGTCCCCAGGTACCTCTCTCTGCCCGGTGTCCTCTTCAGACTGCGCAGGACTTTCTTCAACATCTCCTTCCAGCGGCATCGGATCCTCGGCCACGAGCTCCAGAATCCGCACACACTAAATAGCCCATCGCGAGACCCTCCCTCTCCATCCGCTGGGTTACCAAGTAGGGGTCCAGCCACCCAAATGCCGAGGCCAGCCGCCCGTCCGCCATCCCTGCGGCAGCCTCGCCGCAGCAGACCGGCAGCAGAGGGGCGGCCATGGCCGGAGCGCCACGGCGTTGGCTTTGGCCTGGCCGGCAGGGAAGGCCCAGCTTCTCCACCAGATTCTACTCCCACTTGCACTTAGGGGTATAGCGGCGGCGTATCTTCGTCTCCAATGCCTGGATCTGGGCCCTATGCTTGACACATGGATTGCCTCTTCACTGGCTGACGGTCGTCTATAACTGCCCTGGCTTGCCCCCGGGTCGACGTCAGGTGCTTCTGCCGCCGAACTCTGCATTCCTGAGGCTTTGGAGTTCTACATCTTCAACTTGGATATTATACGTGTCGAAGCACGAGAACTTGTCTTGACTTTTCTTCTTCTGCTTCGCCTCTTCTCCCGAGTGAACCTCTCCTGGTACGTCCATCGCTATCGCTGCCCCTCCCCCTCCTGTATCGGCTTATCGTCTCACCTTTTTGTTGGCCGACGTCAAACTAATGCAGCAAACCTAGACCTCTTCACCCCCAACGCCCTCAACCACTACACCGTCATCTTCTCTCCCAACTGCAACAATCAATCCTGCTCACTCTTCACCATGGCTCCCCACGCTAGCGAATCGACTGCCGGCAACGGCGCCGCAACCTCCCGCTTCCACGCCGCTTCCACCGAGGCCGCCATCGCCGCCGAGAACGAGTACGCCGCCCACAACTACCACCCTCTTCCCGTCGTCTTCGCCAAGGCCCAGGGAGTCAATGTCTGGGATCCCGAGGGCCGCCATTACCTCGACTTCCTGTCTGCGTACAGCGCCGTCAACCAGGGCCACTGCCACCCCGAGCTCGTCAAGGCTCTTGTCGACCAGGCTTCCCGCCTGACTCTGAGCTCGCGAGCCTTCTACAACGATGTTTTCCCCAAGTGGGCCGAGAAGATCCGCAGCGTCTTTGGCTACGACATGGTGCTGCCCATGAACACCGGTGCCGAGGCCACCGAGACGGCCATCAAGGTTGCCCGCAAGTGGGCATACAAGGTCAAGGGCGTTGAGCAGGGCAAGGCGTTGGTCTTTTGCGTCGCCGAGAACTTCCACGGCCGGACTGTAAGTTGATCAGTGTCGAGGAGCCGTTGTTAGAAGCCTGTACTAACATTAGTCTTCAGATGACAGCCATTACCCTGTCCACCGATCCCGAGTCCAAGGACAACTACGGCCCGTATGTCCCCAACATTGGCGCCTCTTCCCCCTCTACGGGCAAGCCTATTCGTTACAACAACGTGGCCGACCTGGAGGAGGTTTTGGAGGCCCACGGAAAGGACACCGCCGCCTTCATCGTCGAGCCCATCCAGGGTGAGGCCGGTGTTGTTGTTCCCGACGACGACTACCTGCCCAAGGTCCACGCTCTCTGCAAGAAGCATAACGTCCTCCTCATCTGTGACGAGATCCAGACCGGCATTGGCCGAACCGGCCGTATGCTCTGCTCCGACTGGGCCGGCATCAAGCCCGATATTGTCACTCTCGGCAAGGCCATCTCCGGAGGCATGTATCCCGTCAGTGCCGTCCTCAGCAGCAAGGAGATTATGCTGGTTGTTGAACCTGGCACCCACGGTTCGACCTACGGCGGCAACCCCCTGGGCTGTGCCGTGTCCATTCGGGCTCTGGAGGTTCTCGAGGAGGAGAACATGACTGCCAATGCCGAGCGCCTGGGTCGCATCTTCCGTGACGGCGTGGCCGCTCTCAAGTCGCCCATTATCAAGACGGTCCGCGGCAAGGGTCTGTTGAATGCCGTCGTCATCGACGAGGCCGCTGCTTCTGGCCGAACCGCGTGGGATCTCTGCCTTTTGCTGAAGAGCAAGGGCCTTTTGGTAAGTCCCATGTCTGCCTATCAGGCATCCTTTGCGTCTGCTTTAGTCCCTACGGCTGCCTTGTCTGCCTTGTCACCTGCTTCGTTACCCCTCTTTCGCCGTAGTCACTTTTCTAACTGACTTTCCTGTAGGCCAAGCCAACCCACGGAGACATCATCCGATTCGCGCCTCCTCTGGTCATCACGGAGGAGGAGCTCAAGAAGGGGCTCAACATCATCGCCGAGGCCCTGAAGGAGCTCCCCACCGCCCCCCAGGCCAAGGACCACTAGAGCGTTGACAGCTTTCCCCTCGGCAGTGTGAAAAGAAAAGGGGGCGAGGGGGGGTTGTGACGGCGTACCGTCCTACGAGAAGTAGACGCAGCTGCCTCGTGAGCGCGAGCTCCGGGAATTATGAGGGCGACCCACGCGGAAAGAGAGACGACGAATTTCCTTTTTGATTTACCACGTCAAACATATAAGATACCCAAGGGATAGCCAGGACCGGTCATGAAGCAGCATAGGAACGGGAGCGTGTTTTTTATTTTTGGATTATGCATGGGACTTTGTCTCCCTTTTTTCTTGTAACCTTCCTGTTACTCTGTTTTGGTGCTGGAAATGAATTTCCTTGACCTGTTGGTCAGGTCGGACGGCTGACGTCCGCGGCGCAAAATGGTGTAGGTAGTGTAACCTGGCCAATCTTTTGTTTTAGAGGCAGAAGACGATGAATGTCGAGGTGAAGTCGGGAAACACTGGGCAGATCTACTGTGTGAATGCATGTATGACCTTCTTATCACGCATACTTGACGACCTGCTTAACTGTTGCCAAGTAGGTATTATCTCCTACCTGTCCAAGAGAACGGTCAACTGCATGGAACCGGGGGTGTTTATCCGTTTGCAACACCGCAAGGTGTATGCACATATCCTTGGATATCACCTTCGACTACTACTACTGGCTGGAGCCGGCTCAGACGGCAACATCCCAAGAAACTGCTGCCATTTTCCGCGCCCTCTTTTGCATTTGTTGTGGTCTGGCGTGGTTGCAAGGTGCAGAGGCAGAGGCAGAAGCAAAGGGGGCACGGGCACAGGCAGAAGCAGCAATGTCGTGTCACGTCTCTTTTTTTGCCAGAGTAGGTAATGGCCGAGCTTTTTGGGAGGTTTCAAAGGGGGGAGGGGAAAAGAGGGGGAGGGGGGCAGGCAGGCCACTTCTGTCTAAGAGCTCTGTTTGTGGGTTTACATGTAGTGGTGCTGGTTCGAGTTTGGCTGGGATGTTGTGATGGAGATGAGATGTACTAGGTCGGTAGGTAGGTATGTATGCACTTTCGACATAGTACTAGTATGTATAACAACTTTCGACATAGTACTAGTATGTATAACAACTACCTATGGGTATGTAAGGGCTGTAAGGGCGTTTGGGTACTATGGGGTGTGAATCGACAGTTTGATATCTGATTGTTTTTCGCCCTGCAGTGATTGATAAAGAGAGCAGTTGAGTAACGTGACAGGTATAGCACAACAGAGAGTCGGGGGGGGGGGGGGGGGGAAGCGATAAGCTGAGCAAATCAAGACGACGGCAATCCTCGTAATCAATAGGATGCGTATTTAATAGAAGGGGAGGGTTCGGTGCCTAGAGGAGAGATCTCGGATGGCCACCCGCTTCATACTTTTATATGCAGATGATTCACGATGTATGAGTGAGAGAGAGTGGGAAGAGGGAGGTTATTGAAAGCGGGGGGGTGGAAAAGTACAGTATGCAGGTCTGTAAGTTGGGTAGCAGTTGAGTTCGAGTTTGAGGTGTGCGATGGATGGATGTCGGCGTGATGATGGTGTTGTGTGCTAGATATGCAGGACTTTTCAACTTACACGGGGGTTAAGGGGAGTAGTAATACCTTGTCCTTGCCTAGAAGGGCCAGGAGGGTGACATTTCTCAGGTCCTGCGTTGCTCGAATTTGATGAAGCGACGGCTCGAAATGAACCAAATCTGTCTGGTGGTACGTGGTTGCATGTGTGGTCGGTGAAGAAGCCAAGCGGATTACTGTGATAGGTTCATGGCCGTGGCTCTGTTGGCGGACGGATGCCTAGATTATGGAGTCGTGCGAGGTAACA